TTTCTCCTTCTTGGTAGCTGGTGCCCACTTGCTGTAAAACAGCTACCTTAGGCATAAACATCTTTCTCCCTTCAGCCACTAACGACTATCTTTTCCACAAAATGCTTAATTAAAACTATTTCACAAGATAGAGCTTGTTCTAAAATCTGACTTCTTTTTCTATGTTGCTCCACAGGATTCGTAACAGTTGCAGAAGTAGAGCAACAGGTTTGATTCAAATTAGCTCCTGGCTCAATGCAGACACTGCAGTCTGAATGTTTGCGCTGAGGAGGAGCACTACAGGGGATTTTCTTGGGCTGTGGTTTATTTTTTTAAAGAAGTTACCAAATTAAGATGTATGAAAAGAGGAATGGAGCAAAACAGCTATGAAACTTGCTGTAACAAGCTATAGAAACTTGTGTATATCAGAATTCTGTTTACATGTACTATTAACGTTGCCAGGTTACGCCAGATAGTTAACTCACAGTTTCTCCTCACACAGGCAATAACTCAAGATGAATCCTTATTCATGGCTAAGTACTCCTTTGCAAGCTATCAAACAAATACAAAAGCCCATAAAGTCTACATGCAGGAAATGAAGTCTTTGTGAAAATAATTCACATTTTTAACTGCATCCAGGACAACCTTCTGAAAACATTCTTTCAGGGTTTGGAATCAAAAGTTCACCTTAGTGCTCTCTATTTAGCTCAGCAGCAGCTTGTTATCCAGTTGTCTGTGTGCATGCATGTAGCTTGCAATTCAGCTGATTAAATAATGTTTGAGACGTGTTGTCCCTGGATTTACTGAAGTTGTCTAAAAAAAGAAGTTAAAATAAGCCGTTTCTTGTCTGGTCAGAAGAGGACTGCATATAAGGAGCTACTGAACAAGAAGTTAAATAGTTGGTGTCAATAATCACAAAGAACTAAAAAGAACTGCTTTAAAACCAGAGAACAAAACCAGAACATGCAGTTATTTTTGCTGCCTTGCAGGAAGGTTATGGTAATAGGACATTTTCAAATGTGTTCAGTGATCTCACAGGGACTGGAAGAGATACCACTGAAGGTCCAAAAGAACTGAGATTTAAATAAAACTGGTTCTGAGTATAAAGCCAAGCATTCTTGATGAACCCACTCTGTCCAGAGTCAGATGCCTTGGACGGATTTCAGGTATTGGAATTGATACTAACAAATTCCCTGAAAGAACATTTACAGGAATTCTTCATCAGCAACTGAATACAGAGGAAATTCTTTTCAAGGTAAACAGAAACACTGTGAACAAAAGACCCACCACTGCTTGGAGTGGTCTCTAAATCCAGCCACCTTTACATCCTTCAAGTCACTGCTCCTGCGCAAGGGAAAAACGTACTCGGCACATGAGAGTTAATGTAAAGAATGAGTTCAGTTGACTAGACAGCAGTGAGGCTGCCCCTTTTCTTACTGTTAGTTTAAAATACAAATGAGATAAAAAAATCATCTGAATGCTTTATTTTTGTCTATGTAAGTCCTGTTTCAGCCTTGACTGGGATTTGTGTTGACTTTACAGCCACAGATTCAAGGACTGAAGAAACAAGAGTGCGGGCACATTTCCCCTGCAGGAAGTAAGTGTTCTTTTGGAAACAGGTTTGCTTGCTGCAGTCCAGATCTGTGGCTTTGGGAAGGGACTTGTGCCTTAAGAGATTAAAGATCTTTTCAGATGAACCAGGAAGGAGGGGAGAGGGTCAAAACTGGATTGAGACACAATCCTGGAAAACTCTTCTTTCTGATGGAAATAATCAATTTTCTTTATTAATTACTTTCATACTCTCTCATAAATAGATATAAACAAAAATCCAAACAGGTAAGAAACAGTAAGTGCAGTATCTTGTTCCCTGCTACTCAAGGGAAATCACTGGTTATGAGGAAGATTAAACACTACCATGCCAAGCAATAATAGTACACTTAAGAATTTTAATAATTGAGTAAATAAACATTATAGGTATTTCAACAATGTATGTCAATATAAGCCACAATGGTTTGAATCTCTTTGTGTAGGACATTTTAAATGTGCTTTGAAGTTTTTGTGAGTTAACTGTTCTCAACAATCAATTGATAAAGATATTGCTCTGTTGAGCAGTACACAGCACTTTTTTGTCTGTGGAGTCCTGGCACAACATACACCTCTGTTTGTGTTTGTGTGAGTATGTGTTTTCTACAGAGAGCTGTAGACTTTTAAGGCTGTTCTTTTCACTTCAGTGGAAAGCTGACTGCAGGAAGTTTTAGGGCACCGTGATTTTGAAAATCTTTCAGGAGACATCGCTCAACACTTTGAAGAAGAATGTTAGAAAACATATAGCCTGCAAATCATCATAATAGCTTTATTTTTCTTCTCACTTGAAGCAATGGTGGAAAAAAAGCAGCATCTGAATCCCTATATCCAAAGTTTTGCCAGTATTTCAATAGCAAGAAAAAGTATGCTTCTGGCCTAAAGTCATAAAAAACAACATGTCCTTTAGGACAAACACTTTTAGTCAAGTTATAAATCTTTCAACACAACAGCTTATTATGGGAAAATAGAGAGATCCTTTCATTAAAATAACATTTTAAAGCACAAAATCCTGAAACAGTGGAATAAAATCTGGGTACACCATCCTCAGGCACTGACGTTCTGTTCAATTGCTGTCACACCAGGCAGCCTACTTTTTCAGCAAGTGGCTATGATAAAGACAATTTTATTTATTTATTTTTTTTAATGGCAGAGTGGTAAAGGAAAAATCTGTTCATGTTACATACTATTCTAAAAAGAAAGAAACACTGTGCAATTGTGCATGTTTTAAGACTAGAGCTTCTGGCATACAACACAGAGCCTAAGTCAATGTAAACCCATGGTAAAATAACAATACTAGTGTAGTGTCACAAAAATCAGCTGATTTGCAACATGTAGAAACCAATGAGTAGAGAAAGAAAGGTGCAAAAGGTTGCAGGTAATTGTGACAAATCTGAGTAATTATACTGAAATAATATTCAAAGAAACAAGACAAGTGTCATTCTGAAATTTAGCGGCTTGGCGTCAGACTGTTCTGGCGGTAAATTCATTACATGCACTAATGCCACTTGGTGAATTCTGTGTGCACACAGCAACGAGACAACAAACACATTTTAGTCTAGCTTTTATATGAAGAATTTAATTATCTATACATGTAACTAATTTTAAAGGCTGTATTACAGTTGTTAAAGCTGCAGGTTTTTATATATTTATATAATTTACATTCATATTGATGAAATACTGAAGTGCAATTGAATAAGGAGCTTCACTTGTTCTTTGCACCGCATGACAGGTCAGAAAGAGGGAGACGGGAAGGATTAGAAACGCTACAATGCTGCCAGCAGGAAATTTAGAAATAATGAAATACACAAACCAGAACATAACTAAATGGTAAAGTAATTAGTAAAACAGCTACATTGTGCTTGAGGCATTGGGAAGAGAGGGTTTCTGCATTGACAGCACCAGGCATTTCATCAAGAGTTTGTAACTAATGCTGGAAGGACGAACATGGCTTAGCTACAGCACATCTACCACATAAACTTGACTGTAAGCTCCATTTAATATTAATTTGTATAAATTCCACAGTCTAGTTTAAAAAATGTAAACATTGGAAATTAATTGCAGGGAGATATTCCTATACATTCTTTCTTGTCAGGAAAATGACTTGTTCAAAATGTGTTTTTCCATACTCATAAGAAAGTAAAGATGAGAAATCAAACTTCATGTAACCAAGATGAAAATGAAGAAGGTAATTCTCAAATCCCACATGAATGTAGCATTCTATTGATTTCTGATAAGAAAATGCAAAAATTGGAACATCTGAGACAAACTTAAACCAGGGTTTTTTCTAATTGTATGCAGCTAAAAGTAATGTGCAAAATAAAATTAACATAACTGGGATAAAAACATTATGCAAGGTTCATATCTCTTGCATTGGAAGGAAGTTAATTTCTTCTCTCCACAATGTATTACACACTCAACAAGGAACACCTGATACATACAGTACAATAACTACAAAAGAATACCTTATCTGTAATTGGGCACATTTAAAGTTCCTTAAACTGATTTAACTCCTTCTGTTCTTTTGTAATTAAAGAAAAAAAAAAAAGAAAAAAAAAAAGAAAAAAAAAAAGACATATTGACAACACTGGACAAGGGAACAATATAAAAGAAAGGTACATAAAGTCTCCAATTTATGGACATTTGGAACAACTTTAATAGCACATGCAGCATTCCTTGATAGTGGGTCTTTTTGCACAAACAAAATTGCAATGAAGAAATTTAATTTATATTTTTCCTTTAAAAGGCTAAAATATATATTTAAAAATAATTTTGAAACTACTGAAAGCACCTGTGCCAAGGTGGAAAAATTAGTTTGGTAACTGTGAAAGCCACAAAAGGACCCACTATCCTCTGATTTTTTTGTGTTTTTTTGTTTCATTTTAATTTTGCGTCTATATCTGTAGGTAATTAACTCAAACATTGTGATTACATGCAACTAATGTAAAATGAGGTAAACTGCTCTGCAGTGTGTTCTTCTACTCAGAAGGCAGTAGATGATCATGCTGGAAGCCACATGATCAAGGCTGCATCTCCCATCATCCCTCTGGGCAGTGATATGGGATAGTGGGTCTCTTTGAGGACTTTCAAGCCTGAGTGGGGGATGGACAACATATGATTCCTAGAAAAAGGAGGAAAACAACACATAAGCAAAACAAAACAATGAGCAAATTCAAGCTAGGAAAATGAGTCAGGCATGTAAACAGCATGGTGCAAAAATGATAAAGGGTAACATGCTACAAAGGGTATGGGAACTAAAAATAAAACAAACATAAAATAAGGTTTGCATTACAGAAGGTCTTCAAAGAGACTTTGACAAGTGCAGCAGTGGCGAAGCTTTGAGTTCTGCAAACCACAGCAGAATCACAGCAATGCTGCATGTTTCATCTTAAAAGTACTATACAAATAATCACAGCATGGCAGCAGAGAGGGTCACTTACATTGCTGGCTTGGGTCCATGTCTGTTGTCAGCTTCACATAGTTGGATGGAAAGAGACCCACTTGTCCATTCACCTCCCCTTTCCACCAGTCTGGGTCTTCCTTGTTAAGGACGTTTATAATCTGGCCTTTATTGAACGCTAGCTCATCGTCATTCTGTGCGGTGTAGTCATACATGCCAATTACTTGGCACACTGTAAGATAAAGGAAGAGGTCTATCGCACTGGTAATGTTTCAGCAAAACACAAGCTATGTATAAACCAACTATGAACGCTACAGGTGTCACACTGATCTGAACTAGTCCTGCCATGGTCCTGCTGCACTCTTCTGTGCCCCTGTACTGGTCCTTAGCTGAGCCCTCAATAAATTGGCTCAAGTGATTTATAAAAAACAAAGTTTCCTAACAGCATTGCTCTCTCCATCAGCTTACTGAGGGGTCAGAATCACAGAAAGGTTTGGGCTGGAAGAGACCTTAAAAATTATCTGGTTCTAACCTCCTGCCATAGGCAGGGACATCTTCCACTACACCAGGTTGCTCAAAGCCCCATCCAACCTGGCCTTGAACACTTCCCAGAGATGGGGCATCTACAATTTCTCTGGGCAACCTGTTCCACTGTCTCACCATTACTTTTAGCAAGAAGTCAAACACTTCAATGATGTTAGCTTTCTATTGACACTTCTCTTTTGTTTTTTTTTTAATATTTACACATACACATTTCCCCACAAAAGCACTAAATTTGTTCGCAACGGACAGAAAAGTCTGGGAAACATGTTAAATTCCACTACCTGAAGCCTAAAAAGGCACCCTCTTTTCTAATTAAGCACTGCACATGCTCAGCATAGCTCTATAATTCAAGAGAAAGGCAACGGTGCTATCCTTAAAGTACCACTGAGGTGTTAGGAACACAAAGGTCTTCGAAAAGATGAGAAAAAGAAAAAGCATCCTAGGTGATTTAGGCTGCCCTTCTGGCACCACAGGACTGCTTCCAACAGCCTACTTTCTGTTTACTTATTGTGAAACTCATCAAGTCTGACAAGTTCTCAGAATACAGCTGCTTCTATTCAATTATAATAGAGCAGAGTTTGTAATTCTCTAAAACAGGAGGACTGTTTATTTAAATACTTCCTCTACATTGCTGATGTTTTCTCTGTGCCAAGTTACACTGCTTCTGGCATTTTGCCTTGAGACACAAAACTTCTAATTAGCCTTGCTGTCAGGTTCTCTCCTTTATATTAAACCTAAAATTTTCTTCTACTTTCATTCTTGTACACAGCCAGCAACTTTAATTTGTCAAACAGCTCCTCTCTTTTTTAATTAATATTATTCAATTGCTTTTAGTTAACACTTTGTACCTGTTCACAAAGATCATAATCCTTTAACAGGACTCCGTAAATGTCTCAATGTTTAGCTTTGTTACTTGCAAAGGGGGTGGGGAAAAAAAAAACAAAAAAAAAGAAGGAGGCACTCACTGTCATTTGTAACACCTGGCACATCAAGCAACCAAAGTGTCCATTTCCCTGGCATACTGGAGATAAACTAGCATTTCTAAAGGAATATATATTATGGCATACTCCTGGTTTGTGCTAACACGAATTTGACTGTAAACACCATTGATGTTCACATTTCACTTTAAAGACCTCTAAAGCTCTTTTACAGCATTCTTGTTACAGGTTATTACTAATATTAAGAACAATAAAAAAATTTAAGCTGGACCATACCTGAATATTAAACTTACATTAACATATTTGTAACCCGTTCTAGAGTTAATTTATTTGAAGAATAAATTCTTTATATTTGACGAATTTTTCATTCAGATGATTCTCTTCTACCTCAAAGAATTTTAGGAAATTTGGCATGGTCCAGCAGTATCATCAGGATATCTAAATAGTCCAGTGGGATCCCAAGAATCACCTTAAAACTTGGGGAGGCCATTTAAGAGAATTCTTGAAGAGACAGGACTCCTCAATTGAACCTGAAGCAGTGACCTGCCTCATCTTGGTCTTATTTACACTTGGTCACAAAAACTAGAATTCACCTTAGTCCTATATAGGAAGCTTTTACAGTAGTCCCAGCAAGGAAGTTTTTCACTTACTTGAACTCCAAATGCCATCGCTAACTACAAGAGCAAGCTATAGCCTACCTTCTCTGAGCTGCACTTGTGTTCAGCCTAAAAGTTTCCTTTTAGAAAGACTGCCTATTGATTAACACTACTCCTGCTGCAACAGCAGAAGGAATCCAGGCTCTCATATAACACTTACAACCAGTACAATCTATAATGTCGTCTTTCTTTAAACAAGCAGAACGGGTGATATTCTTTCCCTACTATTCCGATACCGTGAACTTCTCTGTGCCTCACTAACCACAAGTATCAGTAAAACAGTTAATTTATCAACATCAGGAACAACACATTCATAACACAAATTTAGAAAGGAACATGTACAAAGCAGCAGAAAATTAAGGAAACCTCAAAGTATAAAGCAAAAGCGTCCATGCAACAGAATTTAAAAAAAAGAGTTGTTAAAGTCATGCAGTCTGCATTACAGTATGGCAGATGGACAGCATATACATTAAAGCAAAATGACAAAAGAAACAGAGGTCTTGATGATACTAGTTTCTGATGGATCGGCTACCTTTAAAACTCAGACTGTAATGGCACATTCCCAGACCCTTCATAATGTACCACTTTGGGGATTATTCAGCCCTTGTAGATCATTTTCTTCAGGCTTTCCATGTCTTCTGCTATAGTAAGCCTCCCCACTAACATAATTCCTATAAAGACTCTTGTCAAGCATTAACCTCTTAACCTTTTACATTAACCACACAGTTAGTGAGGCCATCTATCACAACAGAAAGAAAAGCTTCTTATCCTCCAAAATTAAAGGTCTATAACAAAGTTTGATAAAATTAAATGTCATTCAGATTCTTTATGTTCTGTAGGCAATTAGAAAAGTGCTAAAAAGTTTATTCAGTAAAAGTTTTATTAGCATGTGTGAAAAGTTCCACGCTGTCAGACCTGAAATAACTAAAAAATGAAAAAAAATCCCATCATATTGCCTGGTAAAAGTATGTGTCACAACACTGAGCTACCATTTTAACTGCAGGACCCAAACTCATGAGTCTTTATAGAAGTCTGATCTTCATGACCACCAAAGGAGCCAATTAGCAACCACTTATAACATCTGCCTTCTCTGACACAGCACTTTCGTTTATCCAATGACATATGAAACTAATACCTCAGTATTTGATTCTAGTTTCATAACTGCATGATAATTTTTCATACATATTTCAAGGAAAAAATTATGCTCGCTACCATTTTTCATTATGAAACATTTGTTTCATTTTAATGATAGACTGTCAAAACTTGGCCTTGGGAATCAGCAACCTTTTGCCCCCCTGCAACCCGAACTAAATCCAAACAAATGATAGAAAACTATGTCAAGTCTTTTGCATGGCTTATGGAAGAAAATATGTCCATCCTACATGTTGACGGACAAGAATCCTCTTTCCTTAGTTTACTCACACACCCAAAATGGTTCAAGACTGAAACAGTGACAAGGAATGAACTTTTTGTTCTCAGTCTTCTGCCTGCCTTTATACTTTGCATTAGACTGACAGGACTGTTTGACATCACCCGTGGTGAAGCTGTAACAAATAGCTTTAAAAATATAATCATCTATCACTCTTAAGTCCTTTCATAAACCTTAAAATAGATAGCTATACAGGACAAGAATCTACATCTTCATTTGAGTGGCTTTCTTCCACTTCACTTTAGGAAAAATGAAAGGTTCTGAAAGAGAGAGACCTCACCTGCTAAGCCCACAGATCATCCTGAACCTTTAAAAACTTCTTTACTACAATTAGTGTCAAGAAATAGGACTGATAATTTGAATGCTCTAAGACCTAATGTCACAGATGGCTTTTTAGCACTCAACAGTTCAGACCTGAAGAGCCACCACTATAAATACACAGACCAAGTGTGTGGTTTTCTCACTTAAAAGAAAAATAAAAAGAGTTTAACCAAGGTGACTAGTAGAACAGATACTAAAAATATCCTTCTAAATGCCCATAATTATTTTTAGAAGTCGTATTGTAAATGACACACATTACAAAAGCAAATTTGTTAATGCAACTGTACTGCTTACCTGAAGGTAATGCTGTTGATTTAGGTAGCTCTGTTGGTGTAGTTTTACTGGTACCAGGGCTCAGAAGTTTTACATAATTAGCAGGGAACCATCCTATCTGCCTTTTTTTCCCTCTTGCCTAGTAAAAAACAACAATTATTTTCAAAGGATTAAGCATATCAATAGATCCTTAGACAAGGTAATTAAGCCAGTATTTTAAATACTTGCAGTCACAATGACTACTTTAGAATAAGAAAAATGCATTTTATAAGGAAAAAGTCAGCTATTTTTGTGGCAATGACTTTAATGATGTGATGCTTCTCTTTATTAAGTAAGCTTTCATAATGTATAAGCAAAAGAAAATAACATATAAACAGAAGTTATTTTCTACTGTTTTGAGTGATTTTTCACTTAAGAGTATTCCTACTTTGTGTGTTTTAGAATGAATACTACAACCCTGATTCTTTTGAAAGATTTTTCCCAATTCTGTTTAAACCAAAATTCTAGAATATTAGGCTAGCTATTGCATTCAGTGGCAGCACTTAAATGCTTTTTCATTATCCAAAAAAAAAGCATTTAATAGATACCTAGTTTGTGACAGTTTAAGTAGAGATTAAGAAATGAAATCATCTCTTTCTTTTTAAAGAAACAGTATCTAAACTTTTGAATAGTCTCTCCTGCCCAAACAACAGACAAGAGTATAAACATATGTCACATTAATCAAGTGCTAGAAGAACAGCAAAACATTATGGCAAGAAAAAAAGGGAAAAGTTTGGATTCAAATACAAAATCCCAAAGCCAGATTCCAATCAAACAAAAATTAAGCTTTGGCAACTACAAATACATATGGATAGACACTGTCCAAATGATCCTAATTAACAGATGTTAAGGTTTTGGAAAGGATGCCAGATGTTCTCATGCCTATCTAATCAGAGAACATCAGTATGAAACATGTGGTGCACACATGTGTTAGTGTGTGTGGTCCATGTCTGTACTGAGGGAGCAGCAGGTTACCATACACCTGGCCTACAGCAGCGCTCTACAGCGTGTAAGGCAGCTGCAATTTGTCACTGTCAGAGACAGGATGTTGGGACAGACAAACCGTAGGTCTGATCCAGTATGAAAAAGCTTGTCAACAAAGCAGGATAGGAATTTGACAGAAACTGCATCTTGTTATTTCACCAGCTGCACTGTTCATTGCAAATAAAATCAGAAGAAAAATCTTTACTGTAAGCAAGGTTATTCTAAAATTTTTTATCAAATCTCTGCTTTTAAAACTATTAAATCTGTCTTACAAATTATTTATTCTCTTTTTTGCATTGTTAGAACAAGGTTGGCATTTTTGTCATGTAGAATTTAGTCTTTAAAAACAAAATATATAATAATTTTAGTGAAACAAGTAATCTAACATATCCTATTCTTTAACAATTTCCTTCCCTCTGTCTTTACTGAAAAAAGAAAGCACTTGATCTGAAGTCTATCTAGATCATTCATTTCAAGATATTCTGGATAACTGCATTAAATCCAGCAATGTAATGCTTAACCCATTTGCCATATTTTACCTTCGCTCTAACATGTAAGACAAGTATCACCAAAATTTACTTGAGCTGAAACTGAACTGTACATACACTTCTAAAAAACCTGCCACTTTAAAATATTTCACTATTTACTATGTTCCAATACAACACTAAAGCTCTCTCCTATCTGATGCTTGCACCACACACCATTCTTTTCACTCTTCTACATTAAATAGAGCTGTTGCTGAGACAGGGCCATTAGACTGGTATTCTATGCTGTCACATTCATTAAGCAACCTAAAAAAGTGGTGGCCATCTTACAAAACCACTACTGTGAAATATGTCTCAATCTCTCAACAAAAGGGATAGCCAAACGGTGGCAGCAATTTAGAAAGCTTCTTAGGAAGACATTCAAGACTGCACACCCAGTATTTCTTTTACTTTCACAGTGCACACGGGTATCGGCTGATCCAAATGCATATGATATGCATGGGCACTGTTGCAAATAGTTGGAAATAGATCCTTACTCTTAACCCAATAGTTCCATACACTCCTGTTGCCTAGCTGGCTTTCCCCGCTACCTGACATGGCAGCTGCTTTTTCGCTTTGGGCTACTGACGCAAGACTGGCAGGATTCAAAAGCAGGCAAAAAAATGCCCTAAAAACCCTTATTTCTAATGTCTGAAGGCCCTTCAAGAAAATGTACAAGGGAGTAGACTGCAGGCTGGATCTGAGTCTGCAATGGATGTCCTTGACTTAAAATGAGGCACATTGGCTGCCTCCTGCTGCCCCCAAAGTTATTTCAAGTTCAAGGGATTGGAATGTATGCATGTTTTTGTGCAGGCATTTTATTTGTAAATGCTTACTTGAAGAACACTTTAAAAGTTATTTATCACTGATGCATTCATCATTTTAAACTATTTAAAAAATGACACATTTTTTTTACATGGAAGTTCATTTCAAAAAAACCAGTAACTAACTTGGAGCTCTCCTTCCCACCAGCCACCTGGATTCTTCTTTCTGATAAGAATCAACTGACCAGGAGCAAGAGTAAGCTGTTCTGGACCTGTTGCTGTGTAAGAGGCAATAACTTGGGCAATTTCTGTTGAAGTAGGAGGAAAAAGAAAAAAGTTAATTTGGACAAACATAAACACAACTATACAACATTAACTCTGCTATTATCACTTGCACAGTATATCCATTCTGCATTTCTTTCAATGAAATTGTTATGTATGTATGTAGTTGAATGAAAATATTTGGCAATTATACAGCAGGTCTGTTCATAGCACTACAGCAATAAAATGGAGGTGCAGCAGCTCTATGGGTATGATATACAAAATATTTTAAATAAAGAAGAATAATGACCATCATTCAGAACTATATGGCTCTTAAAATCAAGTACCATAATACCGCTTTCAAATAAATACGTTTTTGTAGCATCAGTTGGACCAAGCTCTCGAAAAAGAGGAGATACGTATATATGACAATAAAATGGTGAAGCTGAAGTAACAGAGATGCAAACTAATGAAGGACTACAGAAAATTTTTCACCACCAGGTTAGACAAAATCATTAAAGTTTTCAGAATGTAACAAACCGGATTTATTTTGAAGTCTTTACTCTGTGAGCATTAATACGATACTGGTGCCTTATTTGATCACCTACCAGAACAAATCAGATGCAGAGTAACCATGAGCTCACAATTATCTCTCCATTAAATGAGACAATGTAGACAATGCAGCTTACTCCATTTTAAAGTGGTTGTGGAAAGACAGATGATAACTTAGTCACCATGTCTGTGAGGATTAATCCATTTTTGAACCAATTTGAACTGACAGGACCTTGTAAGTGGCTGTAGGCATTTTGATTCCTACTGATAGCTTTTAAGCAAGGTTTAGCATGTTATCAGAACATGTTTAGGGTGATGGAGAACATGTTTAATACTATGATAACTGGGAATGTTTCATAAACAAAACATGGCAGATTTGGGAACATTTTAGCTTTTGAGAAGCTAAACATTTTAGACTGCTACATTTACATAGTCCCTCTCTAGTCATGAATTAAGGGGAATCTGAGAGGAAGTTTTTGACCTTCACTTAGTTGTAAAGGGTCTCAGACACTCAAAGCAAAACAAAAGCAGTGTTGTTACTGCTGAAAACTCTACTTTAGAATCCCAGTATACAGTCATTCATCACATAAGTATTCTCCTTCACAGAATGATCTATGGGCTGGAGTAGGTTTTTTTTTGGTTGGTTGGTTGGTGGCTTTTTGTCTTTTTTTTTTTTTCATTTTTTTAACTTTTTTTTTAAGGGGGGGGAGGGTGAGGAGGGAGGGAGAGAATTTTGGGTTTTTCATGGGGAAAAACAAAACAATGAAAACCCCAAAACTTTCCTGGAAGAGTAAATTCTGCCCCTGGGTTTAAGACAAAGGAGGTTTTTATTTGGCAATGCATCACATAAAATTGGGGACCATCAAACAGCCAGTGTGGGCACTAGGTTCAATTGGTTATGGTCGTGGTTTAAGACTATCCTAGAAAAGCCCACAGCAGAGCTAGTAGCTCAAGATCACAGAAACGTGTCTCAACTGCTTCAGTGCAAAAGCAAACGGCTTAACTTAAAAGCTCAGCAATTATCCCATCACAGACCAAATACACTGCTTGAGATTTTAGATTTTATTTAAAAATCTTGGTAAAATAATAAATATCAGTATCAGTTATTTTCACTTATGATTACTGTATGTTTTCAACCTAGTCTATCCTAAAGAACTGCACTGGAAGGCTAAGCAGAGAAAGGTCAAACCTTCCTTCAGTTTGCCCCTTTATAAAGCAGCAGAAAGCAATGTGACAGAGTGTCAGGCGGACTAGCAGTCAACACAGCAACAGCAGCAAAAGGGACTGAGGCTGAAGGGAGCAAGTACACAGAAGTGGTTTCCAGCTTTCTCATGGGCAGCCGTACAGAGGAAGTAATGCAGTGCTGGTCTATGTCCTACTTGGCCAAACTTCCTGTGGCCAAGAGAAACACCAGAGGCTCAGTAACAACACAACACCCACAGACTGGGAGAGGATGGGGGAAGTCTGCTGGTAAGGCAGAGAAAGGGAGCTATCATTGAAAATGCAGTTGTAGGCAGAGAAAACCACAAAGCCAACTCCTTTGAAACAGAGGGAGGTTTTGTTTCAGGGAAGAAACAACAAAGTGATTTGAAGGCTGCCAGGAAAACGATAAGATAGTTTACTTAAAATTTAGACGACAAGGATGATTAAGAAAATTAAAAATGCTCAGAGAAGCATTCAAGATGTAAACAAACAACATAAGGAGGAAGCAGAGAGATGACAAACAATCTGAGGTCACTGCAAATGACACGCAGAATTAACTATGGCAGAACTTCCCTCATGATAGCTCAAAGAGGGGAGAGGCAGGCACACAGAGGTGGAATTGAACAGGTGATAAAAAGCCAGTGACTGACAGAAAAATACTTTAAACCTGGATCTGGAACTTAACACACAAAGTGTGAAAGCAGGAGATAAAGAATTTCTAAAATATAGTAGGTGATGATAGGAGAATGGAAAGGTTTACACAGAGAAAGCCAGCAGCAGTGGCAGTCTGTCCTACACCAAGGCAAAGCAAGCAAGCTATTTGGCAGGAAATACGGCTATACTGTTAGAAAGTCTGCAAGCTCCCTGTATTCACAGATTTTTTTTTCACAGAATCATACGAATTTGTCCACCCTAGAGGCATTCAGGAAGCAAAGTGAACATAAGCAAACAAATTAACTGTGGGACTTTGTCAAAATGTATATATATGTGTGTATATATATATATATATAAATCAGGCAAAACCCTTTCTCACTACCATAGCAACTGTAATATTCAGTCTATCATACTGAAAGAACAAAAATCTTGTATTGTGCATCTTATAACAAGTAATTTCTTATTTTTATCCACAAAAAGGTGATTTACAAGGCTCCAGGTATGAGATACCCACTTTCACCAAATAGCAGAATAAAGAATTTTTACTGTAGACTATGTGTTTAAAAAGTTACAATATGAACTACAAGTTTAACATTCATTTTACATGTCACAGAGAAGCAGAAAGTCAGAGAAAACAACTCAGCAAAAAAGTTGGGTTTGCTTTTTAAAAACAAAACCGCAACAAAAACAAAAGAGAAAAAGCTTTCCTTCCAGGAAGGCCTTTTTAATTTTGATTTATTCAAGTATTGAATTACTGAGAAGAGATCCAATTCAATCACAGTCCAGGCCAAAAAATGTGGCCTCTACTAAAACAGGTACATTTAGAAAAAAAACACCATAAATGCCTTCTCACAGAGGTGATTGTCACCACACTGCTGCTCAGATTCACAGACAGCAGTTTCTTTGCCCTCGCCCTTCAAACACACACTCTTACCAACTCCCACCCACTCATCCTGCTGTTTCTAGAAAAAACAGGAATATTTCAACTCGTTCACCAGCACTTCACCGTACTTGCAGCTCATTTATAGTAAAAACATCCATGAATCTGCTTGCTGAAAAATAGGCAGGATTGTTCTGAACACAGCTTTTGTCAACATCCCCCCAGTCTCCACTGATTTGAATCCAGAAGACTGGTAATTATAAGGCTGGTACTCTGAGCTGAAGTCTTGCTATCCACCATTCTCTTACATCAAAAAAAACAGCCATCCCTATCACCATCTTCTCACTATTCGTACCAGGTATCACTTTCAGAGTTCCCAGATCTCTCTTCTTGTCTGCTTCTTCTGAGCTTTGTATCTATTAGGATAACTATTTTTTATCATGTAAGTGAAAGTTAGAGAGGGGAGGAGTTGTTTACTTCCAAGCCCTTCTTTCCACAGATGGATCAGTAAGATTTAGACAAGAGCAGCTCATTGCTCATATGTCAAAGTAAAAGCAGCCAAATTAATCTGGGGCTGCGTTCCCGTCCTCCTCTTACATAGTCAACCAGTTCAGGCAGATAAAGCAAAACTTCCTCACTACAAAACAAAATATGCAGTGTGTATGTGGAAAAAGGCAAGACTTTGTAGATACACCCTTGAACCACCTCACTGCAACTGAACAAGGCTCAGAGGAAAGGACAAAGAAGCATGAAGCACTCCCTCTCTAGTTTGATTCAGCTCAATGCACAAGTCATCATTGTGGTACGAAAGCAAACAAATACACTGAGGGGAATAAAAAAAGAGGTGTCTTCTGGAAAGCTTACAGGTGTCTGCCAGTGACACAGAATGCCCTTTTTTAACAATCTTTGGAAATACAATGGTTGGCTGGAGGGACAGCCCTCACCACTCCAAGAGCCAGGGACTTCTTTCTAGCCAAGAGTAATCTGCAACATGATCGTCTGCAGTATGACCAGGCTTGACAGGCAGTAAGCTACACAGCATGGATACAAAGTACGTGCTCCTGAAAATGAGAAGCAGGCACAAGAGTTCACAGCACCTACGTGTACCATATTGTGAAGTGTTCTGGGCAAAAATGCTGTAAAACCACAGGATAAGAATGCATGTTTCGATTTTCAGAGGTAAACTTGGGCTTTTTCTAAGCTTCCACTGTTCTGTATCATCAAGTTTTCATTCATTTTTGAGCAAGGAGAATTTTATTCTCTAGCTACATGCTATCTAGTGATAGATAGAATTGATTGACAGGCTATCCAACAGTTTTCAGCAGTGCAGATTTATACAAAATGACCAAGAGCAAACAAACATAATTTATTTTCATGGAAAAGATTCTGTTGCCTTTGAACTTGAGTACTTAAGAACAAATATAAGGTGCTGTCACAACATATGACTCACCAGGTTTCTTCCCTAAACTTCCTGTTTTTCCAGCTGTTCCAGGAGCCTTGAAATAGAAAGTAAAATGTAAGTTTAGCACTCATATTTATTTCTCCAGTATATGAAAACTATTTACAATGCTTCAGTTTAACACACTAAACAAGCATGTAAAAACTCTCATAGTCAGATTCTGTTCTTACAGAAACCCTTAATATTTTAGATAGCAATTTATATCTAGGAATAGATACCAAGCAGTGTATGTAAGCCCTAAGTATGTAAGATCATCTATATAAATGTGTAGACTTCTTTCCTGAATTTTAATTCCTCTCATGGACTGCAAGTACCAATATAATTCCAAATTTTATAGCATCTGAATTATAAATCTGCATATCTACAGAATATGAATTCTGTCAAGTTCTATTAAGATAACAATAGTAGTTTTCAACTCTACAAATAGTCAGATTGTAAATATGCTTAAAAAACTAATTGGATATAATTATTTCAATACTCTCCATATTACATATTACAAAAATTCTCATATGGCACATTAGCACTGTCAGTGTCATCACTGCATCTTTTGGACAAGTCATCTGAACTTTGTAGGTCGTGTGTGCTTGCAGTAGTAAAATCCCCCCCACCATTTCTGTGCTCAAGTGAGAGCAAAAATTGCTATTTATCCGTAGCTATTTCCTCAGAACCTAAATGGGGTGACTTAAGGGATGAACATCATTATCATCAAGGCCAAGAGATTTGCAAGAAAAGCCTTTGAACAGCTTTCCCTCGAGGCAACTGGTTATTTGGGAAGAGTTCTATTTATTTATTTTAATGCATTCACAGGTCTACTTACATACACACAATTTGAGTATTCAGAACAGCTCGTGGTCTCAAATTTGTCCCTTGCATGCTTCCCTTCCTCAGTCATCATCAACCCTCAGCCACCACCCCTGTCTAGGACAGCTTTCCCCTGCCCCAAAGTAATTACCTCAGTTTCTTCCCAGACATTGCTAGTCTTATCTGCTGCAATAAAAAGGTCTGACATGGAAAACAGCAACATAACAAATCTAAACTGTACTTTGGCCAGGAATGACGAATAACCATAAATACCCCCTTGCCTTCAAGCAAGGCTCACAACACTTCCACTTCCCCTGAAATTCTCATTTAGGATGTCCCTTACAATCTGGGAGCCTACATCAAATGACCTGAAAGTTTTCACAGAATCCTAAATCCTATTTGGAAAGGAACAGCTTTATCCTCAGTATTCTCCATATTAACTTGATGCTTTGAAAACTTGGGGATTCTGGCAGAAACTAATGTAAGGAGTAACTAAGACTAGTTAACTGATGACTAGTTAACTGATGACTAGATGACTAGTAACTAAGACTAGTTAAATGATGGAGAAAACAGGGCCATTTTAAAAACAGGTATTGGTTTTTTAATGGCTCAATAAATTAAATTATTAGATAAATCTTCAATCTGTCTCGAAGATTACATAGCTGCTCAGAGACATCCACATTTTTAACATCTTGCAGAAAACCTACTGCAGCAAAACTATTGCAGAAGTTTGATCTTTCAGAGTGAACCATAACACCTCACAAGGCTGAATTAGTGAAGCCAACCCCATCTAGTAAGAGCAGAAAACCCAGCAGAGTTGGCGTTGCCTACCTCAGAAGCTATAACTGATGTTGAAAGCTGAGAGTGGGGATGGGAAGAATTTATTTAATTATTTATTTATTTTTAATTTGGCACCAAAGCACCTTACATACATCTAGCATATCACACTTTCTGACATTTCACGTCTTAGATTTTGGGAAGGGTTGTGGAAATGCAATGTTTTTAAGTTCAACAATATCTGGATACTGCTGCCTTGGTGCTGCATTCTTGTAATTGTAAAAGACTCATTCTGGTTACTTTTTACAAAGCCAATAAATCTTCTCTTCCCTATGTTTGTTTCTTTCTCTTCAGTTTTCCACATTTCCCTACAACCCCTGTAACCTATATTAACAAAAAAAAAAAAGTGACAGGAAAGCATCATGGAGAGATCAGGTACAAAGACTAAGTTTAGCTCTGGGGACAAAGAGAAGATGATTCAGACAAAACAACTGTATGGAACCAAAGGTGGCAAGTAGCAATGATATGGTAGTATGTGGAAGTAATTATGCTTTGGAAAATGTTTCTGGCAGAGAAACACCCTCCCCCCTCCTCAATAAAGAACAAGTGTTTGGACCTTCAGAGACCGCTTCTTCAAAATATCACTTAGTCAACATCCATGTTGCCAGATTAGGAGTGTATAGACAGATGAAACAGCCTGTGACACTATCTTTACAGTTAACTGGTAAACACACAGAGATTATCTTAAGAGAGAAGCTTCAAAAATCACCTTGACCAACTGTGTCTGAATTCTGTTTGAGGACTGTCTGAATCCTTGGTAAAAATGTAGAAGAAATACATAGAGCAGTCCTGCAATACTTCAATAAATAAATAATTCAGAAATAATGCATTTAAGATGGACCCAACTCCTGGCCCACTCAGTAGATGGAGAAGTATTTTCTATTCTTTCGAGAGAAAAACAGCGGAGAAGACATAACGCATTCTATTTCTCTTTTACACACCTGAGACTAACTGCATTTGAGGATATTTTGGGACAAGTGATAATAAAGTCTCTTGAAACAGTAAAGCAGAATTTGCTTTGTTAATTTAATAAGACACAGAAGTACATTTGCCAATTGTGTTGTACAGGAAGACCTTCAGAACCCAGAATAAATACATTCAGACTGTTACTATTTTTAGGATATTTATACAAAGTTTTGTAACTAGAAGCATCTAAACTTTTGTGCTTCCAAGTCCACCATACAAGCTTCGTATCTTATGGCAATTATCACCAGTCTCAAGAAAGGAAGGATATAATAAATACTTGTTACAGATCTTTAGCCATCTACTTCAATCTAATGAAAACTCTGAGAACAGACCATGAACCAGTGTTGTCATTTATTTAACGAACAAAGACTTTCATTCTGTTGATAAGATAAAACTTTAAGGAACAGGAAATAGTTTCATTTAGCAGCTTGAGGTAAATGGGTAGCCTGGGACTAGGTACACAAGAACAGATTAAAAAAAAAAATTCTTCTGATGTATAAACCATTGATATTTTGAGGCTTACAACCATCTCTCCAAACTCTGTGCTTGTTGTCTAAAGATCAGCACTGCCTTACTTTTTATTTGGGCCTAAGTCAATAGTGCAGAACACATTAAATTAATTTACTCTTTTAGTAACATTTTCCACAATCAGCCAGCTGTCCAAGCACAGCAGCACATCTGAAAGTTAACAGACAGCCACTATTGTGAAATCCTTTGTAAAAACTGGCTCTGTGAACAAGCTGAATAGCAAAACACTGTACGTGTAATGGCAATTATCCATTTGGAAGAAGAAATATGTCCTGCAGGGCATATGAATCATTTTATGAAAATAAGCATCCCAGATATCGAGATCTCATGAGCTCTGTGCCTTTTCCTCCCTCATCAAGATTTTATCTGAAGATGCAATTTTCACCAGCAAAAAGGGCACTTGGAGCATTTTTTGATGAACTGCAGTAGCTTTTTCAACCCCAGACAAGTTGAGATCAGAGAAACACCAAATTGACCTCTCTAATAAAAACAGTTTTCAGTACTAAATATCTATTTCTGAGCTCTCTCAGAAAAAGGAAGATTTGCAACCGTGTGTGCCTGTCTCTTACAAAAAAGGACAAGTAGCCAGTTCTTAAAGGCACACAAAAGACAGCTCTGCACATCTGAATATAAATTCCCAAGTGTTGAGACTAAATTCTGATGGAAATATCTTAAGAGAAAACAAAAGCAGTTTCTTCACAAAAGTTCAAAGGAGACTTAACTAACAAGAATGTAGGTGAGGTTAAGTAACTAATTAGCAACTATTACTATCTACCTACAAACCAGTACTCACAAGGGTTTAAGGAGGCTAACAGTGCAAGTTTTCACTCTTCAAGTACAATACAAACTTACAGGTAATATAAAGAGACTTAGGGCTCAGTTTCATGATCACAAGATATTCTACAGGCTAGGCAATCAACTGTACACTTTCTCCTCAACTGCCATGGGACAACCCACCATCTTTTTGCTGTATGTCAGGGCTGAACTATAATCCACATCCTTGACTGCAAAAGGAGTGCTTTTCTTAACCAGGTAAATTTCTTGATACAGACCCACAAATGCCTCTACTGCCACAACTGATGTCACACCACTCAGAGGAGAACCAAGCTGCTAGAACTGGGGATAGAGAGTTCAGAATCTCTTGTCTGGACTCTCACTGGGCAACGCTGTCAGGGTAAACCTATATCCTGCCTAAACGCCACAATTTACAACTGTACAAAATTTACTCTGATTGTCAAAAAGACAAGCTAGCCCTCTGTGATGGAATCCATAGTGATACAGCTACATTGCTTCAACTAAACAAACCATTAAGTGCTCCTCTTCTAGTCTGGGACTTGATCTGACTTTATCTCCTGGTCCATAGTCACTAGATCTGATGCAACCAACAGGTAGGATTGAGCACAGGCATATCTGAACCCACCTACTAAATGTAAGATATGATGTTTTGCTTCTAAAATGAAGTACTTAACACAAAAGCCAGCTAAGAATGCAGCTCAAAATCAGGTCAAGCTAATACAAGCCAATGCTGTGGCAATCTTGCCTCCTTCACTACTCTCCTTCCATACTAATTCTGCTACTGATATTTTTGTAACATATTAGAAATATGTATTACTTCTACTAGACTAGTTTTCTACTCTGTGTAGTGTCCTGAACTGGCTTATTAATAGGTCAGATGAAAGACAGCAGCAGCAAAAGTGTGGCAGGTAGGTCTCTACCTGTGCTCACTTAGAATGGGTTGCATATGATCATTTTGTGTCAGAAATAGTGATGCCAGCAGAACTAGGGAAGTGATCATTCCCCTGTACTCAGCAGTGGTGAAGCTGCACCTAGAATACTGTATTCCATTCTGGGTCCCTCACTACAAGATAGACATTGAGGTGCTGAAGCGGGTCCAGAGAAGAGCAACAACACTGGTGAATGGTCTGGAGAAGAACTCTGATGAGGAATGGCTGTGGGAACTGGAGCTGTTTAGTCTGGAGGAAAGGAGGCTCAGGGGAGATCTTCTTGCTCTACAACTACCTGTAAGGAGGTTGTAATGAGGTGGGTGTCAGTCTTTTTCCAAGTAACAAACAGTAGGACAAGAGGAAATAGCTTCCAGTTACACGAGAGAAGGTTTAGATTAGACATTAGGAAAAATTTCTCCACTGAAAGAGTTGTCAAACTCTGAAACAGGCTTCCCAGGGAACTGAATGAGTCACCATCCCTTGAGGTATTTAAAAGATGTGCAGATGAGGTGCTTAGACATGGTTTAGTGGTAGACTTGGCAATGGTAGGTTTGCAGTTAGACTGGATTATCTTAAAGGTCTTTTCCAATCTAAATGATTCTACGATTCTATTCTATTAAACTACAGTCTTAATGTACCCAGGAAAGTGTACCTCAAACAGAAGGGAATAACTAATCAAAACTGGGACAGAACTTCTCCAGTATTAAAATGATTAGTTCTAGAGACTGAAGAAAGCTGTTACATGATGTAAAATACATATGAGAAAGGTTTCTAAAATGTTTCTGACAGAAATATCACAATACTGTTCCTCCCAAGGACTGCAATACTAAATACTACTACCTGAAAATTGGTTTTAATCCTGCCTCAGTTATTGAAATTTCTCTACTATCTAGAAATTTATTATATAAAGCCCTTCTTCAGGTACATACTTCAATGCAGGTTTTATTCTTTGGCTTTTCCACCAACAGAAATAATTTTAAGGAGTGACTTTGATCAAACTTTATATTGCAAGTCATTGAGTTGCATCACCTACACACAGAATTCAAGACTTGTGGAAAAAGCCTTATCAACTAGATTCCTAAAAATCCAGTAATTTTTACTTATATATTTACTTTTAAAACCACTATTACTCTTACAGACATAAACAAGAACTCCTTCTTGGCAAGAGATTAGTATTGTATTCAACTATGATTCTAAGCTACTGCGCATTAGTAGTTGAGTTATCCTCTCAAACAGATGAGGAATATAAACGAGAAAACATCTTTCTTTAGAATGCCTAAAGAGAGGGGAAAACCAAAATGTAATAGGGACATGTTCTGTTGGATTACTCCAGCATAAAAATCAGATGAAACAGAACCTCTATTATCCAGCCAAGAACTTTCAAATAAATATAGTCATTATCTAAGTTTTGTTGTAAAATTTATTTCCCTTGATTGCAAGAAAATACGGAGGGGGAGGGAAATATAATAGACTGAAAGATTACTCTATCTTTTTTCAAAAATAACGGCAGTAAGATACTACTTAGTCTTTAAAAACTTGCCCCAGGAACAAGGTAGTCATAGTTATTCTGATTTGACTCTGCAAAACTGCTAAGTTAACTATTAACATATGCAAGATTAATTTTAATATATGATCCAAAATTATTTATGACATTATGTTCTAAAGTACAACTATTATTGTTTTCCATTTTCAATCTCACATTCAGTAAAACTTTAAATATTTGTACACCTCCCTTATAGAAGAATAATGGATATAAGATCCACTGACTTGCAACTATCACTCTAACCAAATAAAACAGACCTCCCCAGCTCAAGTTTATAACATTTCAATACGTCTCTACCTCAGAATCTTTGAGTCTCACATAGTTAGATGGGAAAACTCCTGATTTATCACCCAGTGTTCCTGTCCACCAGTCACCATCTTTCTTTGTAACAAGAATCATATCACCTTGTTGAAAAGTTAGGTCTCCTTGTTCAGAACTCTCATAAGTATACATAGCAATATATTCTGTAAGAGAGAAAGAGAGAACATGGGAAAACACTTGATAAAACTACTCAATTGTCGTTTGCAAAACCTAACTAATATAATGTAGTCTATCCACAGGCTAGACAGAAATCTATTAATTACGATTCATATAAACCTCAATATTTAATGCATACAACGATATCCATCAGAACTAAATGCAATCTATCAAACTGCTTCTGGTTTATTTGCAGTTTTGTTTTGGTTTTTTAAATAATTTACTAGTAAATTAAAATGTACATAAATTATAAATCGTACAGAAGCTACTCTGAAAACATATTTCCCAATGGTCTCTGTTTTGTGCTGATGGCTGGACTGTTCAGTCTTGGGGATGGAAAGCCTCAGTATCCAAATATCTGTACAGTCTTCATTCTACATATGCTGTTTGGCTCTCATATACAATGAAGTCTTTCATTACTTGAAGCTTCGCATGAAGGGTACACATCTCAATGCATCTTACGCAACAGATGGCTGGGAAATGTTAAGACAAAGCCTGTATGTGTTCTGTTTTGTTAAAACACAGTCAACTACTTAGTATTCAAGTGCAAAAACACTAAAGCAGACTGATATTGAGAAATGCAATGCATAATTCCATCACAGAACTACATTAAAAAAAATTACATAAATGATTACAAATAAGAACTTCATAAAATTCAGTAACATTTTCTATACAACTTCATACATTCTTATTTAACTGAGCATTATCACATTTTATATGGGCACAAAACAGATTTCCGAAGATTATATCCCTCTGCTTCTAGGACCAGCTCTGGACCTAAGAGCAATTCACAGTATTTCAGTAACGCTTTCATGCATATGTAACAAAACCATGCAAGCATCCACTGAAGTTGACAATTGTCCTGTTTGCTGGAACACTAAATCTGACCAAAAGGCTTAGCTCAGGGAAGTTCAGTGAGAATTCAAGCCACAATTACTATCCTCAATGAAGCAGTTTGTCTAACAACTAGAGCTTAAGAACACCCACATCTGTATGCACATACACACCAACACACACATTAAACATCATAATGTATGCTATACAATGGAAATTTTCTTAAATCCTTTAAATGTAATAGAAGATGATAAATCCATGATTTGCCATTTCTTAAAAATACAGCTTTTTTGAAGTGCTTTATTAAAAAGTTGTGATCCTTTTTATATAGTTAGGATAATATTATAATAATATTATAGTTAGGATAGTATTATAATAATTTGTATATATAATATTATAGTTAGGATAGTATTATAATAATATTGAGCAAGACTAGTTGTATTTTGCAATTATCTCATTTTTCTTGTTATATGGATCTTTACAATTACCTCCTTTTAATTTCTGTAGTGCTCATGCCATTGGCAAATTAAATATACTGGTAACCAATGAGACTCTCACTTAAAACTGCCTTTAGAATTGTAATTAAAAAAAAAAATAATAATAAATCAGGTGTGCTGTAGGGGTTACATACTAATGTTCATTTGTAACCTATGTAACCTATATTTAGATTCATTGACTTACTCTGACTGTGATTTAATCTAGCTGACTGCACTGAAATGGATTAAGAGTGCCCACACAGTCTGTTAACACAGCTCATGTAGAGACACTAACCTCCAGCTGAAGGGTAGTAACAGCCAGGAATGTGAGTTTTAAAACCCTCCAGAGGCCTGACAATTATCTGTCTATGCCCCAGGCTCCATCTTTAAAAATGAGATGTAGCCTTGACTGTAAGCATCACAACATTCTGTAACTGATTGTAATTTCTTCAATTAAGAGCTGAAATGAAACATTGGAAATGAGCATTGCATGAAAACGAGACATTAATAATTCCTGACATCATGAAGTACATGTACAGTTTTGCTTATTTGGTGCACTGAGAAAAAAACATTCCAGATTGTGAATTGTTACCAAAATATTTGTACAAGAAACAGTACAAACTATGGAAGATATTTTAATAGCGTGTGAAATTATCATTCACTATACACAAGTTACATAAATTCTTACTATAATAATTTTAAATCATTCTAAATGTAAATTGATTTGCACTTCAATTTTACAGGCCTGATCTTAAAACACTTAAAACACTTAGAATTCTAAGCCTGTTTCTGGTAATAAGCTGACTTATTCTACTTAACTACATAGTAAAGTACTAATAATCCCATTCAGTTTGAAATGCTTACCTTCACCTGACATGGTTGCTTTTGTTGCTGGTGATGCTACTCTTTTCAGACTAGCAGGACTTTCTGAGGAACCAGAATCCATGCTTTAGAAGAAAATAATGATTATTTAAGAAATTAAATCTCTTCAGAAAATTTATTATTATATTTAAAAACAAAAAAAATCACCCACAAAACCAAACAAAAACCAAACCCCCCCCCCCAAAAAACAAACCAAAACAAACAAAAAAACCCACAAAAAAATACACCCCCCCCAAAAAAAAACCAAAACCAAAAAAATCCACCATATGCATCCATAAGTAATTCCCTACAATTTTAAAGAAGAGACAGTAAATGTGCAAAGTAAATGTACAATGGCCAGGCATGGTTACATTTAGGTTACTGCCTTTAATATACAAGTTTCCACACCTCCTTTTCTTCCTCAAGAAAAAAAAGAATCTAAAATCATTCTCATTTGTATTACTAATGCTAATGTTGCCTTCACAAAGAACCAGATTTTGATTGTTTCATCCTCCAAGAGTGATGATAAGCGGTTAAGTTTTGAAGTATATCTTTTTATTTTGGGGGCAAGATAAACTACAAGTTACATAGCTGTAATTCATAAAATCCAATCCACTATTTTTTTGGTTGCAAGTCAAATAGAATTAAGACCTTATATGTTTTGTTAGTTATGCATGGCCCAAGAAGAACTGTGGTCAATTTTCTTATTCCTCCCACAAAAAATTCCAGGGTTGGGAGTCAAAACCACACAAAAGAGAGTCACATAAAAAAGGCATTTTTACAAAGTAGATGCTAAACTTTAAGATTCAAGCATGCGACTCTTCATATTTATCTTTTACAGTATAGAACTATGGTGAAAGTAAGTAAAATACCTTGTTGACTTCCTAATGGGCCCTGAAATAAGCTTCACATATGATTTAGGAAACCACCCCTTTTGTCCTTGAACCTCTCCGAACCACCACATATCTTGCTGCTCCAAAACTGTGATGATATCATTCTTGTTGAAATTAAGGTGGTTGTCTTTTTTTGCTCTCCAAGGATACAAAGCCTGTGCTTGAAGCCCCTCCACTTTCTCACCCTAATGCAAATAAAAAAAAAAAAGAGGAAAAAAAGAGAGAGAGAAGTCAGATGTGCACCACCTTTCACAAAGAAAGCTGCTTAAGGAATTATATTCTTATGCTACTTATATAGCAACAAAATACCCACATACTCATCAACTGCGTAAAGCAAAATCAGTCAAACTTACAAAGTAATACCTGAAACATTTACAGTCCTCCTACATTTCTATTTGTTAACAAATAATCAATACAGTGCAAGATTACCAGAGGTTTTGCTTAACAAATCAAGTTTTACAGTTAAAGTATACATGTAATAAACCTTCATGAAGCTATTTTGGCAAGACTTAAGGTAAACTTTAAGGAAAATTATGCTTTGCAGCAAGTTATTCATTGTACATTCCAACTCTTTTGGCTCTAAGATACTGAGATATTTAGCATTTTTCAGAACACATTAGCTTACAAGAATAGTATGTTGTTAAATTGAGGAAAAGAAAATGCCTTAGCAGATGGACAGAATTCATCTGATGTGAAGCTTTGCCATTGCTATTTCACTTAACTACATAATCCACTTTGGAGTGAAGGTTATTATCAGGTGACTCAGGAAAGCCCCAGGGAAGCGATCCAAAACTGGCATTCTGCCAAAACATTAAGGCTGGATCACCAGTCTAAAAAAGTTAGCACAAAATAGCAGAACAAAAACTGCTTCATGTTAAATTGTCCGTGGATGTTGCAAATGGATTTCCGCTACCTGTTCATCACTCCAAAATGGAACTGCTTACCTATCTCAGGTGACTGTTACAATGCATGGTCACAGCGTTCATAATTTGCTTCCCAAATATTTGTGCTGGATCAGAACAGTTTCAATCAGTATAGGCACTCACCTGACCCAAGACAGGAGAGGGAGATGATCCTGTAACAGTGGCAGGAGTGAAGGCTGATCGCTGCCGCATCTGCCCTGCACTGGGAACGGTCAAAGATGGCTGAGCTGCCCAGGCATCCCAGTTATCAGTCTCTGGTTTCTCACTAGTGCTTGATGGCCAGCTGAAGAGAATAACACAATTCCTATCATTTTCAACTGAATAAAAACATTCATGCAGGAAGATTGTGCAGGAAAAATATTTATACGTTCCAGGTTAATTTATTTTAACTGAATACTTCATAACTCTCAGGTGGAAGTAGTGCAAACATAGGCTAACAATTAAGTTTATCTTAAAAAGGCAATCTCTAAATAGAGTTGCTTGTCCTTGCTACTTAAGGTCAGCTGTTCCTGTAATTTACTTTCATTTCTTAGCTGTGCCCAGATACAACAGAAGTAGTGCAGTCTATATTATACACATTTGAAAGGACTAATTTAAAAAAATAATTATTCTCTTCAAAACTGGTTTGAAATCTTCACACCTGCATGCCACTGACCTCTTACATCCCTTTCCCTTATATATAATTGCTGCTTCTCATTCAAATCCTTACCTTTTTTTCTTAAAATTATTTCCTACTGACTTCTTTCAACTCTTTAGTTTTACGCAACCTCTTAATCTTTTTTATATCTTGTCCTTTAAAATGCCTACTAAATTTCATAACCCACATCTCTACCTCCAGATACCCACTTAAATGAACAAAATCCCCTGAACTGTGGGAGTGTAAACAAAACACCTGTCTTAAACAATGCACTTATCTTAAACACACAAATTGCCCTTGCATGTTGCTTGTGGTATTAGTTGGAGTAATCAATTGTTGTCCACCTAAACTGTAAGTGTCCAAAGGCCACAGCCATCCCTAACCCTTATATTATGTCAAGGACAGTACTATTAGTATAAATGTTCTGGGATTCACTTTGTGTTGAAACTGAGTATTAATTTTTATGAAAAGCCTGAAAGTATACATTATCCACCTAGGGTAGAAATAGCTTTGTCAAAAGTATGATTTATTGAAACAAAAAAATCCAGTATGTGCCAGATATCTCCAGGAAGCTCAAGATTTAGTCTTATTCTCCCTCCTCAGGAAAATGACTGTAGTAAACCAGAAGAAGTTTAAATAACTGGAAAAGCTACTGTGACCTAGTTGATGAAAATTTTGAAAAAGAATGTATCATGTTCTTCATGGTGTTGGTTGATGAGAAAATGAACATGAGCCGGTTTCAGTGCGCACTCGCAGCCCAGAAAGCCAACTGTATCCTGGGCTGCATCAAAAGGAGCGTGACCAGCAGGTCCAAGGAGGTGATTCTGCCCCTCTAACTCTGCTCTCATGAGACCTCACTCGGAGTATTGTGTGCAGTTCTGGTGTCCTCAACATCAAAAGGACATGGAACTGTTGGAGCAAGTCCAGAAGAGGACCACGAGGATGATCAGGGGACTGGAGCACCTCCCGTATGAAGACAGGCTGAGAAAGTTGGGGCTGTTCAGCCTGGAGAAGAGAAGGCTGCGTGGAGACCTCATAGCAGCTTCCAGTATCTGAAGGGGGCCTATAAGGATGATGGGGAGGGACTCTTCATTAGGGACTATAGTGATAGGACAAGAGGTAACAGGTTAAAACTTAAACAGGGGAAGTTCAGTGTAGATAAAAGGAGGAAGTTCTTTACTGTGAGGGTAGTGAGGCACTGGAATGGGTTGCCCAAAGAAGTTGTGAATGCTCCATCCCTGGTGGTGTTCAAGGCCAGGTTGGACAGAGCCTTGGGTGACATGGTTTAGTGGGAGGTGTCCCTACCAGTGGCACGGGGGTTGGAACTGGATGATCTTAAGGTCCCTTCCAACATTAACTATTCTATGATTCTATGTACTGTAATATTGCACAAATATATTTAGAAATTTAATTTATAAATATGTGTTACATGATCAAAGGATACGACTATTACTTACCCTGCCCCATTTACATAGGTGTTGATAATACCATACACAGCATTAAGTTAACAAGATATCTAGGGAAAAGCACATGCTCTCCTTGTATCAGTCTTACTAATGTTGCGATAAGGAATTAGTAAGTCATATTTTCATGTTAACTTTGTCATTAACTTATCTTGCATAATCCAAATTGGAAAGCTTCAGTGAGGATTAATGTCAAAGAATTTTAACTAAATTTAAGAGAAGGAAGGTGAGCACCTTGAAATTTCCACCATCCTCATTTCTGATGTGCCCTTCTGCATTGCTCTGGCAAATATGATGGAAACATGGTTAAAGCTCCACAAGGTTGCGATCTTAACTATTTACTATGGAAAAAATATTTTCCTTCAAACAAGCTATTTTTATTTTGCAACCTTGATACTCTGTGTTAAATGTCACCACAGCCAAATCAATTAAAAAGGACTCCAGCACATTAAAGGTGACAATCGCTACCCAAACATACGTTGAACTGAAGTCTGCCCAGTTATTGCTGGTTGTAGTACACTCTGTAGAAGCAGGAGTTCCTATTGACGTAGTGGTTTCATGCACAGAAACTTTAGGTGCAGCAGTTGCATCAACTGCTGGCCTTACAGAAGCTGGAACTTCATTTTCAGGTATTTTCTCTGCATAGTTTGCAGGGAACCATCCAGTTTTCCCCTTCAGTTCTCCACCAAGCCACCCTGGCTCTCCAGTCTGGCTTTCATCCACCTGTAGATGCATTAAGTTAGAAAGTTAAGAAACATCACATACAAATGGAATTTTTCCTTTAAGCAATCCATTTCCTCCACAGCAATTACCTTTCTCTAGTTATAGACACATGACACCTTCATTACAAATGTAAGTTCCACCTAGGTAGAATTTTGTTGTTGTTATTTAATTTATCTTTGGAGAATGTCAACAGCTATTTCTTCTATGGTATCTTAATAGATAAGGGAACATTTTTCAGCACAATACTGCTTTGCAATTTATTTATTCATTTTCTTAATTTTTATTTTCCTGTTTTTCCCCAAGCCAAAAATCAAAAGGATTTCCTTCTGGTGAGGTAAAAATGAGTTTTATTTCAGTCTTGATGCATAAGCCAAGCATAGGTTTTTAAACAGTTGCCTGAAAGTCTTTCACAGTGCAGCAGACTTAGGAGAACTGAGTTCTAGAAAAATCCCTGAAATACTGGTATTTCCAGTTTAACTAACACAAAACATAGTTTTTAACAAGTTTTCCTAGATTCTCTCTTGCAGAAAATACAATGAAAACCACAGCATATTAAAAACAACATCCATTGAACAATTCAAAACAAAGCCACAGATTTACTAATGTATTTGTACAAAACAATTCCATAGTTAAGTTTTCATATGTAAATTCACAGGCCTTTGTTCTTTCCCCTCACTCTGATATCTTTGCCAAGCCACAAATGAAAGAATGAAATGGGGCTAGTTTTGCAGCTATATTTTAATTCCTACTTATTATTATATTCATGTTAAGCTACAATGTTGTAAACACCATACTTTCCTGTTAAGTTTTCTTAAACATTTAATATATTTTTTTCCTCCATGCTCTACTGTCAGACTGTTTATTGTCTTAGTCTGTTATTTCACCAGAAGCAATAAGTTTAAATACTGCGAGCTGCAACTAAACATATTCAGCAAGAATTGCAGAAGAAAAGTAATTCACCATTGCTGTCCTATCCCTGCTGAATTGATAGGGTGGCTAAATACCTTCAAGGCAAGGTCAGCTGCAGAAACTTTTTAGAAGAAAAAAGACAATAATTGTATTCAGTAATAATTTTGGTAAATTAAGTGTTCCAGGTATCTAACCTCTTTGATAGGTCAAAAGAATCTCAGTTTTCAAGCAAACCCATACATGTGAATAGGGTTTGCACCTCTGACATGTAAATAACACCTACTTTGTACAGTAACTTGCTGTACTGCAGATTCCCCAACAGTAGTCAAGTCAGCTGTAAAACCAGGCCAGTAATGAAGTCAGATGACCAACCCTACACAATGGCTGGTTTTGGGCAAGAATTTCTCTCATCAGTTTAGGTGACTAGCAATTGGTATTTCAAAATACATGGGTTTCAAACTACAGAGTAACTCAAGAGTTGACAGTGGCAGATAATACAGTAGTCAGAGATGCTTACATCTGTATTTCTCAATCACCTGACACTACTTCCTAAAAATCCATTATCAGTGTGAGGGATCTGTTGATAATAGAATGCTTCATGAGCTCAGGAATAAGAAATAGTATATTTTTCAGTCAAAGCAGTTTTCAGTATAGTACATTATATGAAAATAGCATATAGTAGTGGCTCAAGCCAGATGCTTCTACAGTTGGAAACACATCTACAAATCCACTCTATTGATTTTAACAAAATATAACCTCATCAGCTGCTTATTTAGAGAAGAAAAAAAAAATAGTGGCAAAAAATAATTATTTTGTGGCAATGATGCAGACTAGTCACTCTAGACCAAAGGTGAGACCATTCTTTTGCCTGGACATGACTGAAACTGAAGCAGAAAATCTTTTGCCTCTGATTGTCCCTGGACTACTCATTTGAGCTGCTGACAGATTGCTTTGCCTTCAGCCAGTTGTTGTCTCTTTGCCTCCTATAGTAATTTGTAACCCACACCCCTCTTCTGGTGCTAAACAATCCATTATTTCTGCTTTTTGTTGGGTCCATCTTCTGTCTCAGTCCTTTTTAACTCAAAGCAAACCCAGAAATAAACGGGCTACATGCATGACCGGTTCAGTGTGGCTTTACTGCAGTGCAGAGCAAAATTTCCACTGCAGCACTGAATAGGATTGTTAAAGCAGCAGTATGAGTGATGAAAGGTCACAGCAGAGGGTGAATCTTGCGAGAGAAGGAGAAATGGATTAACAGCACCTGATAACAAGTTGAACAATGTAAACAGTAATAATAGTCACATAGTTTCTACTGTCATTTAATTGCTGTTAACTTTTTGCAGGTAGAAACTAGAATCACTAACATACAATAAAATCAGGACTGCAAAGCCAAAAATCTGTTATTGTGGTGCTTGAAATTGATGTTTGAAACCGCTGTTTCAGATAGAAATTTTCAGAGAAAACAAAAATCTACAACCCATTTAATGTCTCTTTAGAAGACAGTTTCAAGTTCAAATAATTCATAAAACAGCCTATTAGAATACTCAACTTTATGTTTATTTGATCCAATTAAGTTTTCTATGTACACTCATAAAAAAGGCACTTTGAAGGATCATTTTAACTCTATAAAAACGCTGGTTTCTCAGTCATCCATATAAAGTATAATTTGCATCTGTTTCTGTAGTACAGTACAGGAACTTTGAAGAAATACCTTTGCACCTTTTTAGAATTCAATTTTTCTAATTTCCTAATATGTTTACACCCACTATCCCCAAGTCCCTGTGACAAACCATCCCAATTTATTTGGGATAGGCCAACTTGGAGCAACCTGATCTAGTGGAAGGTGTTCCTGCCTATGGCAGGGGGGTGGAACTACATGAGCTTTAAGTTCCCTTTCAACTCAAACCATACTGCAATTCTATGATTTTTAAAAATATTGGTTTAACCCCAAAACATAACTAACATAGTAAATTATAGTGTATGGGTTTATTTTTTATTTATCAAACCATACTTCGAGCCACAGGTTACAACCACTTAGTTTCAGCAACTGAAAAGAAGCGACAGGAATAACAGCAACACAACTCTTAGTAGAAAAAGCAATAAAACCTCTGTCAACAGAAGGACTGGCTTTGCAGTGGCCTACTCACTTTGAGCTATCTCATGTATCACCAGCAGTACATGCACACTGCAAGAGAAGCCCTGTTTTATGGTAGATACTCACTCTAGCTACAAAGCCAAACTCTAATACTCTCACAAAAAGTATTTAATCAAAGCTAAACTGATTACCATCTTCTGTTTTGTTCAACTATCTACCCATTAAATGTCCAATTTAATTGTATTCCCCTTTCAGGCGTTTGATCTAGATATTCTGAGACTAGTGGAACTCCTGTTAAAATGTTGAATATAAACTCTACAGGCCAGAGGCCATAAGCTGGATCTAACATAACAAAACTGTCTGCATGTCTCTCACAATCAGTAACTAACACAACTGATGAGAAACTATACTTTTGAATTTGGTTTAGACTTTCCATGGAAGCTTCTTTATGAACTTCCCATTTAACTTACATTCCTCTGCTACCAGAGCCACTACAGTTCAGTAATTCAATAATTCACCTATATTTCATTGAATTATGCTTAATTTATTTAAAGAAGGTATATTATATAAAACATAATCAGCAACAAAAGAATCCATTCAACTGGAGCCTAACAGCATCAAATGCCAGGAGGACTTTGTAAGAGAGCTATCCAAAAGAAATTCCACACATTGTGTATATATATATATTCATATACATACTAGAAACTTAACTTCTTGAACAGACAGAGCCCTGAAAAAGGCATGGCTTTTTTGGCTCAGAATACTTGTTCCCAGACAAAAGCTGGGTTAAATTATAATTAGGATTATAATTTATAATTATAATTTAATTATAATTAGGATTATAAATCAATCAAAATTATAAATAAATTGATTATAAATAAATCAATAGTGAAAGAAATTTAAAGTACATAGAAAGGCAAGAAGCAGAGAAAGCAGAAATCCAAGTTGAGAAAATACAAGAATCCTGTAATCAAAAAGCAGAAGAATTAAATTTAAAAAGAAAAAAAAAAAAAACCCACTGTCCACACCCCACGCCTTCCCTAAACAGTTACACAGGACATATCACCACTATAGATAACTAATACATGTACTGGAAAGTCAGGCAGAAGAAAGCCCTCATCAAATTTGCAAATACTTTTCCTTTCAGAATAAGCCCTCATCTCCCTCATTTCCACCAAGACAGGTCTCAAGACTCACACATAGTGTAAAAGTGCATTACACTTGTAAAAACTATTTACAAGCTATACATCTATTAAAGCCACAAGTCATTCTGACATAATGAATTCTGCAGTCCTAGTTACATCCAAGATTTAGGCCTGGTTCCCATGTGCATGGTCAATGGATTTGGGCTTCAGCTGGACTCTCTGCTCATGGCAATTACAGTTTGGATATTATCTTTCGTACAGCTATATGATTACAGGACATGATTGCACAAGCTTGCACATACAAAGCCATTTATAAGTATTACAATGGTGAAGTGCTGAATTTGTTTATGTTAGAACACAGTTATCTTAAGCAATGCTTATTTTGTTGCACACAGTAAACTCCTAAATGTACATGTCATCTTAACTACAGAGTTGCATTTATGTCGTAGATTAGACACACTTTAACATGTAAGCTTGTAAATGATTATTTTCCAAAAAAATGTAATCAACTCAAACCTTTCAGCACCACAAGACACGACAAACACTTAAGGACAGGGAATAACCTAGGAGTCCAAATGCCCATTATCAAAAGTAACTTCTGGCTCATTGCACTTAAATTACTTTTGACAATGTGAGCTAGTTGGTTAATTTTACCCTAGGTAAATTCAAAAACAAGTAAACTACATGGCAACAAAAATCTGTGTTTATGAAAATGAATATATTGCATAGACTTCCTAACAGTCATTTAGCACACTTACCCATTCCCTTTTAACCTCCATCAGGAAAGCAATGATTAAAGCAAGGCAGAATTATAACACATTTCACAAAAGGGTCTTAAATTAACTTTTCTAAGAGTAGCCCATTTAAGCAATAACTACAGAGCAGGAGATAAATCCCACAAGAATCAGCCATCAGGTTTAATTATTGTCAAAAGTAAGTTAAATAAAGAAAACTGAGAGTAGTTACCCTAGTTTTGTAGAGTAAGCTAAAATAAAGTCCAAAAATAACAAACAAAAAGATTCCGATTACCTTAGATTCTCTAAAGTGTGTGAAATGCTCCTTAAAAATCATATATTTTTTGGCAAAATGTTATTTCCCTGCAAGTCTACTTAATACTAGTGATTGCTCTTCCTCAAGTTAAAAAATAGAATACTTACATGCCTAGGCTACAATCTGTTTCCCAAGATAACAGGACAACACATTTTTTAATAGCCTAATGAGACCCATGTACCTGTATCCTCTCTCATTTAACAGCAGACTGACCAATACTATTGCTTGATGAAGAACAACAACCAACACATTGCATTGTTATTTAGAATGAACGGCATTGGGTCTCTTCCCTAGTCATTCAGTAGTGCTACTAATCCAGGGTTTGCCTTTTATTTTCTAAAGCAGATTCTAACATCACAAACCCAACAATTAAAATAAAAAGGCTGAGATGAAGGCTCATTTCCCCCGAATACACACATTAAAAAAAAAAAAAGTTACCATTAAAACTTATGAGAGTCTATAAAGTGTATTTTTTCCCAAGTCCATTTCTTTCTCAACTGTGCCAAAACACAACAGATCCTAACATCTATTCCGTGGGGTAGACACTGTAATGAAAATAATTTCCCACTGATAATCACATTATCAGTGATTAAGATATCATTTAATAGTTAAACTAGGAATTTTCATTATGCATAGATACATGTATGCTAAGATCATACTCAGAATTTATTAATATATACATTCAGTAACTGCAGTCATTAACACCAGAACTGCTGGTCATATCCCTGTATCTCAACAGCTACTTATAAAAAGGAAAGGAAATGATTCTGTATCAACACACCTGCAACCAAATTTTTAGGTTTTGAAGTTTCCGTTTTTAGAAATGTGATTTTATTTATTGCATATGCTCTTTAAAATAAATTTAAAGGCATCTCATAAGAGCTAAGTAGATGAAAAGAAAGAGTAAATTATCATACACACAACTCCAAGCTACAATTATAATAGATCATTACATCAAATGTTGTCATCAAGAGTTGTACAAAAATTTCCAGTATTGCTGAAGAAGTACCACTACCATACAAAGACTATGTTAACATTTATGTGACCATTAAGAAGTGTAGCCAGCTTGTGGGTTTGCATAACTGTCTCACACAGTATTACACTGGACATCACATTCTCTTAATAAAGGCAATTTTCCAAATTAGAAATTTTACACTGCTCTTGTCCTACTCTTATAAAAAGGTAGATTTCTTATTAGAGATATACTTTGTCAAAGCCAGTTTTTGATTTCCTCACATAATAACCACTTTTTAAATAGAAAATAAGAGTAACTTTGTTTCTTAGGTACCTTGGAAGACAAGAAACCTCTCACTGAGATAGCTTCTGTATAGGAACATTTTTAAACCCATTGACAGACACACACAGCTCAGCATGCTGAAGCTGATATGATATACTCATAGATTGTTTAAACTTTACACTTACAAAGAACTGTAAGAAGCTATCCATTATTATAGCAGGGTTACTTGTCGTATCACATGATTTCAGTATTCACTGACATATTTTTCTCAACTCTGTAAAAAATCTTGCCATAAATGTCATTTCAATCGCACAAGCACAAAAGCTTCAGTAATTGCATCAAGTAATATCACAATCCCTTCTTACCATGACTATGTCGCCAGGCTGAATACTGATTTCATCATGGCTTCTTGATTCAAAAGGATACAGTGCTCTATAATACACTATTTTTACATCCTCCTGAGCAGAAATGGTTAGAGGAGCTTTATCTGAGCAAAGGAAAGAAATGCACAGATACAAAAAAAAAAAAAAAAAAATTTGAAAAATTAGGTGAAAGTGGAAACAAAAATTAACAAACTATACTTTGTTTGTAGGAAGTACTTTATCCCTCTTTTACACAAGGGGAAATATGAAAAGGAATTATTTAAAATACAGCTTTTACTATTTTCTCTTCTAAAGATCAGGTAAAATATTGCTATATTTTAACTTTTATGATATATACAGCTATTTTCAGAGAAAGAGTGGTGTACTTCTGATGCAAAATATATACCTTCTCAAATGCTTCAGTGATTTTGTAGTTAAATCTGACCAGCTATGGGTTCAGTTCAAACAGTGATGTTCTTGCATTTATCGATGGTAACCCAAATACTTTTACAGCCTGCTTGTGTAGCAGCTTCATTTGCAGCCTGACTATGCTCCCAAGAAAAATGTTTCAAAATATCCTCATACAGATTGCCTGAAAAGAGGTCACTTATAAATGGTGGTTTTTAAAAAAATAAATTACTTGCTAAAGATGTATCATTAGAAAAAGAATAAAGAAACCCTTCAAAGATATAAGCTAAATTGCTCTTGTATAACGTAGTTCCTATTTTACCTATTTGGTCATAAAAAAGCTCTCTGCTACTCTGCACAAATAAAATCTAGCAAGAGGACATATTAGATTGACAATTCTAGATTTGGGCTAAAAGATAGAAGGTAATTTTCCCTTTATGCAATATTTTAACAAACATATAGACAAAGATCACATTTCCAGTCAGTTCTTTAATGTATGTATCAAAGCCACTTAAGGAGGAGCCCTGATTCCCAATACAGGCAAAAGTTAGGTTAGAATGAAGAGAAAAAGCTCTTAGCTGACAGTGACTGTGTGCATAGCAAAAAAAAAAAAGAAAAAAAAGAATTGTAAAGAAAAATACAGAAATAATTTTTGATATATTGCATCAAGATCTTACAACAATTTCAGCTAAGATTCTCTCTTCAGCTGGCACTGAGTGAGTGCCATCAACTGTGCTTCACACTCTGCTACTCTGCTAAAAATTATCCCTTTAGAAGAATAGTGAAGCCTAAGCGAACAACTTTTTGGAGTCTAGAACTCAATCCACACATGATCTACTTTAATAAGACTAGCAATCCAATCCTGAACCATAACATTCTTCTGTATGAATTGGGAAGACAGAAAAGAATTGTTCAAGAGGCAACATCATTTCTTGAATTTTTTATTCTACCTGCATTTGACCAAGGAGCCTGGACAGCTGGCTTGATTGTCTCTTGATGTGGCTGGAAAAGCTTGCTCAGTTTCTCTGGCATTTCCTGTTTCCCCTTATCGTCACTTTCCTTCTTCTTGGTTATTTCTTCCCTTTTTTGCTTCTCATCTTCTTGATTTTTTTTTTGCCACTGAAGTTCTTCTTCTGGTTGCACTCGATCAAGCCGCTGTTTATCCCGTTCCTGGATTCGTCTGTTGGATAATTAAGGTGGGGTTTTTTTAAGCAAGTCAAATAAAAGACCATAAAAATTAGTTGTCCTTTCATGTGATCTATAGAATAAAGTGTACTCTTTATGGCTTTTGCATACCCTGTAAGAGGTGTTAATTTTATTTTGGTGAGTTATCAACCACTCCACATCATCTTCTTACACAATGACTCCTAGAGGGCAAAGGAGAAATATTCAGAAAGATTTGCTATTACTCCATATGTATTCATAGAGAAAAAGCTATGACTCTCAGATAAGTGAGAGAACACAATTTCATGTAACCAGCTACTAAGTGCAGGTCTCTATTACCTTGAGTTGCTTTGTCTTTGCATTAAAAAAACCTACCTTTAATACAATTTTTTAATTTGCATATGAATTTTGCACCTTTACAATACAATTCCGCAGAACTCTAAAAGCAGAGCAACCTAAGCATACAGAAATGATAAACTAGTTACACTTTGGAGCTAAATGTAAGATGGGGAAAAAACATTCAATGCTATTTCTTCTTGCTGGAGTTTTTAGCGATCTGTAAATGCTAAACTTTACCTTCTTTATTGAGGCTGTGATCTCTTCTCCTCTACAGTGACAGGAAAATAAATGTACCTACCTGTGTTTTTCTAATTGTATGAAACTTTACACAGGTATCTTAGAACACTCTTAGTCAGCTCACAATGTTCTGGAAATTATAAGCTTGATAACAATTTAGTATCTTACATGTTCAGTCCCCGTTTCGGCTTGGGGACTGAACAATATTAGTGTAGTCTCTTTTCATCATTTTCCATGGGATTCATAAACCCTATGCAGTTTTTTTAAGTGATGAACCATATGGAGAAAGGAGGAAGCAGAGGAAGAGGGGAGTAGAAACTTCCCTTGGCTGAAGAAACAAAACTCCTTGGCATCCAAGAACTCAGACATATGCCCTTCAGTTCCATGTAGCTCTAAGGCTGCTTTTGAAAACCTCTTCCTGAGCTGTCCAATTCAAGCAATCTGAGTATATCAGCATTGTAAGTTACTATTTTCAACTGCCCCACAATTTTTATTTAATTTAGGCCTGTAGCTATCAGCTACAGCTGTCACTAGACATTTTCAAAATTAACCATTACCGTAAAATTTTCCCTGAAATCCAATAGGCAGCAAATTATACACTTCAGTTTTAATTTGGTCAGTACTGACTTCAGCTCTAAAACATAAAAGAAGTAAGAATATAAAATAAGCTGGTTCTGCTTGTTTTCTCAAAGCTGCAAAGTTCCCTAGGTAAGACTCAAAATAGCAAATCAGAAAAAAAAAACATAAAACAACCAAACAACAAAAAAAAAACAACAAACAAAAACAACCAACCAACCAAAACCCGAATAACTAACCAGTTATCAGAAAACATGTCCATCCGGATCCTTCTGCTGATGGGCAAGGAGTAAAAATATCTGCAAGCATCACACAGAATTCTTGCAGAACTATACAATTACACATTCCCAGCTGTGAAAGCTAACAAGTCCTTCCCCTCCAACAGAGGGCAAAATAAGAGGCAAAAAGAATAAATATTCTCTGCTAGAAACAATTTGCACCAGTAAAGATAACTCTAAAAGGCTGTAGCAGATGACCTATTCCACTTCCATACCTCCTTCCTATTCACAGAATCAATGACAAAGGCATGAAAACAAGCTGGTCATTACAGACTTAGCCTGCTACACAGAACCAAGAATAACATGAATTCCTGGCCAGAAACCATGTGGGGAAAAAAAAAAAAAAAAAAAATCTTTAAGGGGAAAAATACACGTTCCAAACAGTAGGTTGGCACCAGAGGGCAAAAATCTCATCTCTATCGATGTAAGTTTTGACTTAAGAAGAAGAATTTCTGAAAGATATCAAGGTACCTGTTGAAGTAACTGCTTAAAATGACAGCTAACCTACAAGCTCAAAAAAAAAAAAAATCTTTGTTTCTCAATTAAATTGCCTATACTATTTCAATATGCTACATCAGTATGCCACAAGTAGAACTTAAGACACCAGTAAGGAGATCACTTCTTCCTCTGTGAAACACTGCCATGCTTTTCTGCCTTCAATATAAAGTCGTTTAAGTTAATAAATTCACTGTTCTGACAACCTCTTATTTTAATTGCTCAATTTGTCCTTCATATGTTCATTTACAAAGTATTCAGAGCCAATTACTCAATAGCTTTGTTGCAACACTGAAGCTGCACCACACAGGCATACAGAGCTCAACTTTCTTTTGACTTGAGTGGCGTCTTACCTAGTGAGTTTATTCAGATGGGCTTTAAATGGGAAATTGAGTTTTTAATTATGTTTCTAATAGAGCAATTAAGTCTTCCCATACCTCTAACCTAAGTTTGCTCTAACTGCTGGAGTGAGAAGAGAAAAAGAAGACAAAAAAAAAAAAAAGTCCCTTGGGAGGACAGTGGATATGTGCAATTTCTTTTTTCTTTCCATAGCAGCTGTAGAATTCTTTTCTTTGGTTGTTATGGAAGCTAATATCATGAGTTAAAGACAGGGAAGGGAATAGGAAGAGACATAGAAGCTAAAGAAACACAAGCCTAGGTGTGAGTGCCACAGTTTGGGGTTAGGAACAGAAAGATATTCTGTTCTTTTCCCTACTTCAAGACTCCTCATGTGTGAATTATTGTGGAATACAATTTCTAATCTGGGATTTACATATACTTGCTTTTACTCTATTAGTTTCCTTTTTTCTCCCAACAATTGCATTATATCGCTCAGGCAGTTCTTATCCCAAACACTCATTTTAGTTCTGAGCCGTATTTTACTCCCACAATCATACAAGTCTGCATGGAATTAGCCCTAAACCAATTAAGACTAATTAGCTACAAGAGGTCTTCACAAAGACCTCTACCATCCCCAAATATGTATGTCTGTATCTTTATTTGCTCAATTATTTGCATAATGTAGTGCATAATTACCAAAAAATTGCTAAGACAGTTCTCAGTATAAAGTGATTGTAGTTATTATCAAGCCAAAGGTTAAAGTGTGCATAACTATGATCTTAGATTATTCTTTGTTTCTTTGCTTTCACTAGAGCTATTAAAAGGCCATAATCATCATGAGGCAATTTGCAGGTTATGAGTATAACCATTTACCTTACTCATCTTGGTGCCTAGCGGAAATCAGTAAGACTGGCAAACTGCTCATTATCACCAATTACAATTACTTAGAAGCTTGAATATTTGGGCAGCATGAAGTTTTGCATTACCAATAATGTCTAATAATGCTCAGCTAGCATGAAAAGTTAGAGATTAAGTTTTCCATGACAGAATAATTTCCTTTTTGAGATTTGTTTTTTTTAAATTTCAAATTTTCTGGAAAGAAAGAGTATTTTATTCAGTATTCAGAAACAGAATATTTCTTGTTTTACTATACTTCCAGTATCTCAGCAGCCTTCGTATTTTCAAGTTCCATCATAATTACCATATTTTGTGTAGCTATTTCTTCATGATGGAAAGCTGCTTTTTTAGAAAGTTTGCTAGTTCTGAAATAGATTAAGATTTTTAAAGACATTGGATTTATGGAAATATTTAAGAATTATCTAAACTTAATTGCTTTCTGTGCATAAGATTTCTATTTGAAGATATGGTTTGCACCAAGAACTTGCTTTGGCTTTGCCTGAAACATGAAAATTAACTTGACTCACCATGCAGTAACACAGGCTACCAATTCAATTTAGGTCACACTCCATGTAATAATTTAAGACCTCTTGTTCCCAGGCCTTTGTTTTCATCTCATGACCAACATCTGCCTACATTAAGACTATAAAAACCCCACAATTGCTAAAAATTAAATTAAACAGCTACTGATAAATGATGTCAGAATCGAACTGTCAAAAACAAATTTCCCAACTTTGTAGCAGAAAAACATTAGCTCTGTGTTTTATACCAGTAAAGTTAGACTGTTTAAGAACCTTTCTAGGTATAGAAGTACACTACACGTTTAAGTAACACTGCTGAAAACTGTATGTATCACTGACAGTCACAGACAGATGCAGAAGCTCAATTCAACAGCACGCTTCTTATTCAAGGATTAATCAAGAGATTCTCTGAGTTTTAAAAAGGATCATCTGCAATGAAATGAAACTTGGCCTAGGCCTTGGGTACTCTTGCCTTTTACTGATATATTAGTTGAGATCAGATTATACTCCTTGGAATAGAGTTTGTTTGCAAAATGCTTTTCACTTTAATACACGGCTTAAATTAGAGCAGTTACCTTTGAGCTTCTTTTTGCTTTTCTAGTTCTACTGTTTTCCTTTCTTGTTCCTTCTGTTTCAGCCTCTCAGCTTCCAAGTTCTTTTGCTTTTGTAGTTGCTGTTTGTTATGTATTTCTCTCAACTCCTAGAGAAGAAAGTAAAATATATGTAAACACATACTATGTGACTCATAACTAATGGCCCCATGTATTTAATTGTGAAGTACCAAAACTTGCAAATAGTTGGGTATCTGTTCAAATTTATGAGTATTGCCAAATGTAATGGCAGACATTTAAGGTAGATTCAAAGGACTACAAATCACTTCCTGTTTTCCTATATTATCCATGTAATCTGAGACATTAAAGAATTAATAAACAAGAAAACCTTTTTAAAATGGGACCCTAAAAAGTTAACAAAAGTTTGATGAAGCTTTATCTGAAAAATCACTTACAAATTATTTTAAGTTGTTTGCTGGTTTGTTCAATTTATGTATTACATTCCAGACAAAAAAACTGACTTCTGAGCTGCTCATAACAGCAACTGTTTCGGTTGATTTTGATTTTCAGTGTTTTATTTTGAAATTAATTATGATTTACTGAAGAAACTTCATGATTGTTTTACACAATACATATACAATACTGTTTTATATATTTGCCAGGGGAGGTTTAGGTTGGATAGAGCCTTGGGCAATATATAGTGTGAGGTGTCCCTGTGTCTTTGGGGGGTGATCTTAAGGTCCTTTCTAATACCATTCTATGATATTAGGAAAAATTTCTCCACCAGAAGGGTGCTGTTATTGGAACAAGCTTCCCAGGGAAGTGGTAGAGTCACTATCCCTGGAAGCATTCAAAAACCATGTAGGCAAGGCCCTTAGTGACATGATTTCATGGTGGACTTGGCAGTGCTGGGGCTACGGTTGGACTTTGTGATGTTAAAGGTCTTTTCCAACCTAGCTGATCCTTTGATTCTGCACCTAGGAGAATTCCTTAAGCAGTATCTTTGGGATGAATCATGGCACAGACAGTATTCAACCATATACAAGTCAGTTTTCCTCTAATTAACTTGAAAGATGTTGTCTGAAACATTTAGAATATAACTAATTATAAAACCATCATATTTTCCTCAAGATTTGTTTTCTGCATTAACACCTATTAACACAAATACAGGTTTTATCCGGAATCATTTTGCATACCTAGAATATTGTGTCTGAACTCCTCAGCAATACCAGAGGAAAAAAAGACAATTTTACCTACGACAACTGAATTTTTTCCATTGAAAATAAAATTTTACTTTAAAAATTGTTATGTTTTAATGAAAATATAGTACAGACAAAAATAGGCAGAAAAAGTCTGCAGGAGGAAATTCTTTCTAAATCTTCATCTTAATAGTGTCCACTTCTATTTAAATATGTTATGACTTATGTCATGCAGGTTTGTTTCATTCTTGTATCCATAAAAGGTTAAAAAGGCCAATTTTCACAGTTTTTTTTGATAACTAACTTTGTAAAGTTTTTCAGAAATTTACAATCTAAAATTAGCCAAATGAAGACTATGCTCATGCACTGACCACAATGTAGAGAGTTGTGTAAGAAAAAATGAATAATGATTAAAAACACCCCAAACCTGAATATCAAAGTGATTCAAAGGGCCAAAGTTAGGAAAGTTTCAGTAAGTTAACTTCACAACATTAACAGTAACTTCTTAGCTATAGTTTCACAAAAGTTGAAAGTTAATATCCGCTTGTTTACAAACTGCACTTGCACTGTGTCTACAAGTTTTAGTTAGTGAAAATAATACATGCATTAGTGCTGAACGACTGCATATTGTTGTGTGCCTCAAATTTTAAGACATCAGAAGAACTATGTCACGAAGAGCAGCAGCACATGATCCTTGCAAGTTAATAAAAACACTCCGGATGTAAGGATAAAAGGTTAAAAAAAAAAAAAACAACTTAAGTTGAATCTCATGTCCTGGATCTTAGTCTCATTTTATTTATGATCCTCAACTTTAAATTCAGTGAAAACTGAATTCAAAATCATTAATGAGATAATCAGTTCTAATGCAAGTTTTAATTAAGACTCGGCTAAGGCCATGAAACTGACTGAAACGCAGAGGTAACTTGGGCAATACCATATTTTATGAGCATCAGAGATTATTTGCCTCCCTGATGAACACCTTGGCTCCCAAGTAATTTGGCTTTCCTCTGGAGCACTTGGAAGCAGGGTATGTGGCAGACACTTAAGGTATCTCTGTTTCCCATATGCCTTCTTGCTCAGGGTGTAGGATAAGAAGAAAACTTTCCCTCGTTAGATTTTCAGGAACTATTTCTTGATTGCTTTGTTTGCCTTCTACTGCCATGGGGGGCATTATTCAATTCTTGGAAATTTCTTGCTGCGTGAAGCTTCAGCGTTGGTGATGCCATGAATTTCTATCATCTGTTTCTTCAGTACTGCTAAAGGATGTGGAATAGAAATGCTGTGGATGCTCTCAGAATAGATGCTTATTTGCATGGCTGTCTGTGATTTCAGGAAACAGAACTCGACCCACATGATCCCTTGATATTCCCAGCCTTAAATACTCTCCAGAGTATTCTGTGTATTAAGATTGAGTAGTCTGGAATTTGAACATATTCTGGCCTTTAAAAATAACCAACTAAGGTTAGGATTGCATTCCACCCTGAAATACTGTCCTATGTTACTTTTTGTGCTTGAAGAATGATAATTTTTCTTTACATCCTTTTTTATTCTGATATCCATTCTGCTGTTTGGCTTACCTAAACGGTTGTTGGATTGGAATGGTATTATTTTGATATCCTTGTGTTTTGAAAGGTGATTTCCTTTCCTCTTTCTCTTGAGGTTTATCCATCAATACTTTTAGTCTACTAAACGCCACATTTCTTGAATTATACAACTTGTAAACTTAATTTCCATTATGCCTGTGTGTATGCTGTAATTTATGAGCATCATTACTTTCCATAGTAAAGATAGTTAGGGTCTAGAATGGATATTACAGTATGTAAAATAAACTACTCTTAGGTAAGAGTAGTTCACCATAATTATTCAGGTAGGATATTGCCTTCTGGGAAAATTTTTAAATCCTGAATGCCCATGGTTATAAACATTGATGCATAGTGTCATTTGGACTAAAGAAAAGGGCTAGTAAAAAGGAAATACATTAGCAATGTTGAACATAATGAGTTTTTAGTAGCTGGCCCATAATGAACAATGAGAAAATAAAAGGATCAGGAGATTGCAGTGAATACACAGCTGGTCAACTGCACCTGGAGCTGGAGGTGGTCTCAGAGCTAACTATAAATTTCTGAAGTGCTAACTAGAGGAAACAGTCATTTCAATAACTGTATGTTACTAATTCAGCTTCTTTAATGGCGTTACACTTGTAATATGTCGAGGTACAGAACACTGGGCCCTTGTTTCAAATTAAATTCTCTGGAGAATGATAGCCCCCATCTTCTCTGTATGATCACCTGAACCCTTATTCGTATCAAAAATATGCACAAGTGCAAAGGACAAATTATATAACCATAAGATCATCAGCAGTTGAGTGATTTACAAGCATTCATGTGAAAGGACATAGATTAAAAAATGGTACAGGTGAAAGCCTGGCCAACAGCATTACAAATTTTTGTAGACTGCAGAAATCCATAAAAGTCTCTACAAAGTTCTTGAAGTTCAAAATACTACTTGAAGAAGTATCAAGTATCTTGACTAGTACTCATGATTTTTAACAAGCTGTTTGTGTTTTCTGGATAAAAAGACTTCTGTACAAAGCACAGGTTTCTGACTCCTACATTTAGTTCAGCTTTAACACAGGCTTCCATTTAGAAATCCTTTGTTCCACTTGCTCTAGCTTTCCTTCACAATCATGCTCCCTCCTTTCACCTAACTTTGTATGCCAACAAGCTCAAGAGTCCTGGCTGATGAAAACTCTTCTTGCTATTGAACAGAGAGGTCTGGGATAGCCACACTTTTCTAATAAGGCAGCACTGAAGATAACCTGTTGCAACTTGCAAAAGCTTTAAGCTATTTAGACAACAGTGCTTTCCGGTTTATTTTTTTTTTTTTTTGCATCTTTATCCCAAACTCTGGTGTTTGACCAGTTAAACAGAAATAACCACTTAAAGAACATGAAGGCTATCACAGTTTAAACAAAAAAACCCTATAAATGCCAAAAGTTTTAAGTGAGTCAACCCATATGCATGTATCTGAGCTTAGTTTACTTTTTAACAAGACATTTTTAAACTAGAAAGAATGCTTCAGTTCATCTTTATACACAGAACCAGGAGGAATCTACGGCTAATTCAGAATACTGGTATTTTCCTTCCTTCAGAAAAACTCCCTGAATTTGCAAATACATAAAAACGAGTTACAATTTGCAAGACATCTGTGAACTAATATTACTCACTTCCATTAGATGTCCAACTACAAGGCTAGCCCAATCTTTATATTTTAATTGTAGTACAGACATGTATGTTTATGTCACCACTAACCCTACGATATATGCTACTTTTACTGCCAAACAAAAACTGGGGAAGGTGTACCTATGAGCCATGCCTCCATGTCTGTCTGAAGCGTGGAGTTTCTCAAACTGAGTACATGTAGTAGGATCATTAACTGCTGCATGACAGCAGTTAGATGTTCCTGCCAACTCTGGTCCAAATAATAAAATTATTTTGTTTGCTTATTTCATCATTTTCCCCTATATGCTCAGCTGAATTTGTATTTCAAGGGACATTTTAATAAATTACTTAAGTTTTCCATAGACATTTTATCACATTATTCCCCCCCGGCTAAGCCAATGTGCCGGTTCAATATTTTGTAAAGAGATTTTTCTGTGACATATCTGTAACAGTTAAGAAAATCTAACCTATGTTATACTAATAGCACTGGGTAGAATATTTTTGGAGAGAAAAAGAATGCAATATATATAATTCTTTGCATTAGCAATGAGGAAATAAAAATTTGATATTGTATCTCATGCAACAGATAGATTTTCTGTTGTTTTGCCAAGTACCAGTGGGAGGATAGGGAGAAAGAATCAGCATTTCCCACAGTGCTATAGGACACCAGTTGAACAAAAGTATAATAACACTTCAACAGTTAACAGAATGAAACATTTGCCAGCTGAATATTCAGCACAGTCCTACACTCATCTTTTACAGACACAAGCAACTTCAAAGCTGTACATTTACAAATCATATATTGTAACTCCAAAGACATAACAATGCTTTGCTTGTTTCTGGTGGGCAGGACAAAGCATGTCTTACCTTAAAAGCAGAGATAAATTGTTACTTTTCTATTTAATTCACAAACAGACTAACAAGTAAAATTTTTGAGATGTTACAATAGCCACATTTAGGCACCCACATAATACTGAATACGAATTAAAAAAAATGAGTTTCATACAGCTGAGTAATACTCACTATATACAGACAAGTCGTATTGCTATGAAAACCTTAACATTAGAAATATAGTGGTTTAAGCTCAAATTTTGCCTTTTGACAAAAGACAATAGAATTTAGGATACTTCAGGGATAACAATACAATGTTTCTATCAAATCCTCTCCCCTTGAGACAAACCAGAGCATTTGACCCAAGAGGAAAGAACCCTACAGTTCTGTGCTCACTGAGGCTTTTCCACAGCAATACTCTTTTACCCCATTCCCCAGCTCCCAAAGAACCTGCTCTCTCCTTGACTGAAACAGTTCCTTTGTTCATCCCATAGTATAGCTATGGGAGATTCGACAAAGGGACTATATTGCCATCTCTCATACCTGAAATCACAAATCACAGTACCGTGTAGAAATACTTAATATAAAAGTGTTTTCTTTTTGAAAATTCTGAACAGCATGACCAAAAGGGCAAATAACTTAAAATCTTGAAGTTTCAGATAAGCAAGACAAAAATAACTAACTAATACCTTGCCCAAGTTGCAATTCAAATCTAGACTGTAAGGATTAGATAACAATTATAAACTCTTCTCTTTGGTTATGTTTTAGTGCTCGCATCTCTTATTAAAATACTAACTTAGTTAAACACTGCACACTCATCTGTTTATGGTAAAGTGAAGCACATAACTGGAGGAAGTTCATCACTCAGATTGAGATAGCTGTGTACTGCCTGAGTATGGCATGGAGACCTTTAGAAAGGAGTCTAAGTAGTTGACGCAGCCCAGGAGAACTGCCAGGCACTGCAGCATTGCATCTTCCATTGCCACTGACTGGAAGAAAGAAATGCTCAAATGTAAACAGGCATTCATATGCAAGACTTGTCCAGTGCACACTGACTAGACAGGGACTGACAACAACTGGAACATGACACAAAATGTAAAACGTTTTTAAGAACTTAATTATACTTGTTCACCACTTTTTCCAGGCACTGAGAAAAGCTTCTCAGCAAGACTAATGCATTTCAGAAATACTGATTTATTAGTTTTCTTCTTCTGTGCAGTAACGCTGATAAGCTTTAAATACTTGATTCTTCTATACTATATGAAATTATTATTTGGTCTCTGGAGACAAGGACCATATTAAGAATTATTATTGCTTTATTTGACAGTGTGCAATGGCCAACCTTCGTAACATTTAAATGTAAATTCACACTGAATGTAGAAAAAAATTTATAAAGGTAAATTATAGTAGGGCTATAAATATACAAACAGGAAACCTAGTATAAAGCCTTCCATTCCACAGGTTTATTTTATAAAGCAGAGAAAATAAACAAGTGCCTAGTTACATTTTACTAATATATGTATCAATTTTAATTCTTAGGTTTCTAGGCTAAGATTTCTAAAGACTAATGGAAAACAGACTCCTTCAACCACAATTCAGGACATTAAAAAAATGGCCCAACTTTCAACCTTGCTACAAACTCAGTTACTTGCTCTATAACCACATACAGCACAATCACAAGACTAGTTCCTATGCTCATAAAACACATCAAACCTCATTTAAAAGAATAGTTGACCAGCTGCAGGCTAAGGTACTTATTTCTCTGCCAAGCAAGTATTAACAGTTTCCTAAAACCATGTGGTTCTACCTGGTTAACAAAGATTCTCGAAACGATCCATTTTAAAATATTAGTAACATTTTGTACGGGAGAGGGGGAGGAAGGAGGGGGAGTGAGCGAGTGGCTGCATGGGCCTGGGTTGCTGGCTGGGTTTAAACCACGACATCTAGAAAAGTTTAAAAAAGTAACCAAATTCTATAAACATTTCCAACCCTTGGGATGTTAACTTGAAACTAAAGTGACCAAAACACTTGAGTTCCAAAGGACTAACCACAAGAACTTTAAATCAGTTCTTTTGGAGGGAAGATAAAAGATCCATGGAAAAAAATACTGCATTTATCTCCCTAGTCACTCACATATGCTATTAAGACATGAAGGAAAGATTAGGTAATTAAATGCTTGTTTCAAGAATTCACTTAATGAATAATATAACAACTACAATATGGAGGCAATTGCAGTACAATCCAATGTATAGGAGTATGGTATTAACAACTTGACTCATAAGCTAAAATATATCAGAATATTCGGTAACCCTTGTGGTCTCATTAATGAAAATGCACACTTGATACTAGTTACAGACTTGATTTTTTTCTTCTACTATCACTGCATATTTCTGTATTCACTATCAAGTATAGCCTATTTCAAGAGAATGAATCAGAAACAGTTTTTGCAAACTTTAAGGATACATTCACATAGGAGATAATGTAACCCATATTCATAGTCAGCAAAGAATAAATCTCAACAACGACAAAAGTTTATAATTTAACGTTGCTGTCAACTACCCTCTCTCTTAAGCATTTCATCATACTAATTTCGCATATACTGGTACTCAGGGAGCAGTAGCTTACATATTTACAATTTTGGTTGTTTTTTATTAAATTACACATTTTGACAAAGTAAAAACAGGTATTACTCCCTCTCTCTGTAGGAAATAATTGTGAAATGCTGTAAGGTGGTATATACCTAAAGATTATTTAGATATACTTTTCTGAGGGGGAGTTTGCAAACAGTACCACACCATTCTGCTTCTTGCCCAGAAGCTAGCTGGATTATAAAAGACAAGGCAAGCACCAGTACCTCTCCATCACCTGTCAGAGTACAAAAGCTGCACATGACACTGTCAATTATGGTGCTGCATCCTAACAGCCATCCCAGCAATTGTGCATCTCAGTATACTGAAGCGCAAAGTAGTACTTTTTATGGTGATTTGCTCTATCAGTTTTAAACCTACAAGATAATTTAGAAGCAACCTTGATGCTCTATCAGTTTTAAACCTACAAGATAATTTAGAAGCAACCTTGATTCAAAAAAATGAGGATTTAATTTGCTTAATAAAAATACATTTTAAAAACAAACAGGTAGAAGTATCTGAGATTTATGCAAGTTCCCAGACTACTTTGTTTTGAGCAATATTATCACCGAAGAGATAGGTGTGTTCTACCTAGGTTTACAAACAGATTTTCCACTTCTCAAAACCCTAATAAAACCATGAGTCTCATGGATGTTTTCACTAGCTTTGTCCATAAAGTCTCATATGCAAGGCATTCTGAGAAGTCTCTCTAAAAGAACAACAGCCATTAAATCACCGCTGCTCACACAGCATGGTTTAAACGGTTTCTCTGGCATTTGGGAGTACTACAACCACCCATGCTAAGTCGACAAAAAGGTATATATGCCTTTGTAGATATTTAAATCTAGTAATAAAATCACTCAGGTCAACCAAAATACATTTTGCATATCTAATGAAACTACCAAGAGGGAAAATAAAACTGCCTGAATTAAGCTCCCACCTGCTCGGTGTCAATAGTACAACCGCCTCTCTTAAACTCACCTCTTCAAAGAAAGCAAAGAAAGCCGCAGCAAGGCAAAAATACCAACATACAGCATCAAAAAGTGGTCTTCCTATTAAACACTGCTTCTACACATTACGAAATTAAGAACACAGTATCCTCAAGCCAGAGAAAGCTTGCCGAAGTCTTCCCAAAGAACTGTCTACATCACTCATTTTCAGCATTTAAAATTAAATATTAAGATTTGAACACAAAAATCAATTTTCCCATTAAATTTTAAAATAGTTTACAATGACTCAATGTATTCTTGGGTAGATGGCATTCTGATAAATCACTGTCAATGTCTTTAATTTACATCTTCAATTTTTAATTATCATTAGCTTGTTACTTGTTAAGTCGAGTTCTTCACTACTTAAAATACTGCGTTTTGTTTGGTCTTGGCATGTGTTTTGCTACTGTCACAGCACTAAAATTATTCACCTCTCTGCCCATATATAAACTGGTTAGGTCCTTTATGAGCAAACCAAATGCTGACACTAATCTTAGAATTAATATCCTTTGTTTATATTTACCACAAAACACTTCAAAAGGACTCCATTTAAAATAATCACGCAAAAAGCATTACATTTTAACGTGTCAAAAAAAAATATAAACAAAACTGGAGGCAAACCATTCTGTTATCTTTTAGAATAAATTGCTCACATTTTGTTTGTCTGTGACTCTTATGACTCTGAAGAGATTCCCTTCTTTCTACCTCCTTGCTTAAGATCGTGAAAGTCATCTCTGATTTGGCATTGTAACAGGTAGTGGTACGGTTTATAGGTTTTAATTTTTCCTATAATTATTAACATCTTTAATGTTAAAACAAGCTATTTGTTGCTTAACTTTCAACCACACCTTCCATTCGAAGGCATATGATGTAATCATGGTTGATGTAATTTCAAAACATCTACAGAAAGGCTGGTGTACCTATCATAGTGTTTTTCCTTCTAAATACTTTAGAACGACTCCCTGGGGGAAATTGGGTATTTTTCTACTCAGTTTTCAGCAGAAACCATCAATTGAATTAGCAGATAGACTACTTCAACATTAGAATATTTTATGAAAAAAGAATGCTAATCAAAGTTTGTAACTAAAGACTGAAGAAAAATTTCTCTGACTTCTGCAATTTCTGTCATTTTCTTGTGCAGAAATAAACAAAAAAAAATCACACAGTTTTAACAAAGACTGATCAATAAAGCATGAAACCACAAACAACAGACAACTACATTCAGGAACAAGCATGAGCTTACAAGAGCAGATAAAAATTCTGTGTGTCAGTAGAAAAACAAGTCTCTTGAATAAAGATTTCAATTTGAAATACTGATTCCAGCTGATTTGCTGACCTACTACAGTCTTGCACTTCTTTGATGCAAAAAGGGCAGAAACCAGCAATTTCATATTTGCAATCATGGATCTGGAATCAGAGCTCAAATTTATTCTTATGTAGATTCTGCAGATAAAATTGATTCAAAATCCGAGTACGGATGCTAAATAGCATTTTCTTAAAATTAATTAAAAAAACCCTAATACCCAAAAAACCTCACAAAAAGATAATTTGAGAACATTCACAAAACTGGCATTCTAAATCAATCATTCTAGTTCAGCATTTTTGTCCATAATCAAGTTAGAAAATAATTAACTGAACATTTAGAAGAAATGGTTAAAAAGTCTAGGATTACCTTCAGTTGATTATTGAAAATATCAATTTCCTGAAGTTTAGATCTGGTTTCTTTTTCTACTTCATCTAGTTGATCTCGAAGCTGTTGACGTGCTATTTCCTTGGCTTCTAAGGCTCTTTTGATAGTAAGAAGAGAATCTCCTGGTTTTAAACATATCGTCAAATAGTATTTTCTTAGGCAGAGAATTTTAGATCATAGAAAGCAACATTTTTCAACATGCATGTTGCAACACAGAAAAACCCAAAATTACAGACTGCACTGCAATGCAGCATTATGTCCTATACGGACTTAGACATGTATAAAAATATACTTACTGTGCAAACTGTTCTGTTGAACTTGCTTCAGCTGATCATTAAGCAATTGCTTTTCTGGAATCAACCTTCCAAGCATCTGCTGAGATTCCTGAATGGATGATAACAAGAAGAGAGAAAACAAGAAGAGAAAGAAACAAAAAGGTGAGGAATGACTTTAGCCATGTGACCTCTCATTTGCATTTCTTTCTGAAAACATTCTACTTTTCCCACACTAAATTATGTGTTATTGCTACCAAACACTACCTGTGTGTTACTACCACTCAGGCATAGTTTTGTGCCAATACAAAAAACTGACTATATCAAATTGAAGCATATTACTTGAGAACTGATTCTCACTGAATATGTAACTGGGCTTGTACTTACTTGAAATTCTGGGGAAAAAAGACATGGATGGATTCCAGGAAATACTAACACCGGCACATACTGTTTAATTCTCATTTTAATAAATTAATATTAACTTTTACCAAGAATAGGAATACAAATATTTACAGTTTCTTTAAATAAGAGAAAATAAAGGCTTTCACTTTAAAGGAATATGGCCCAAAGCTGTGCAAAACATGTTCTGTTAGATGAGAATACTTGCGTCCCAGATTTCTTGATAGTACGCATGAAAAAGGATTATGATATCTCTCAATTTCAACACATGGTCCTAATACTGTACATCTTTGGATGACAAATTCCTCCTGTGGTGGATATATATCCTATATAACCCTTGCTCTTCCTGGAGGATGAAGTGCTACTTCCTACACCTTTCAGAAGCCTTGACCTCCAACTTCAAGTTATCAAAACATATCACAGAAGGTGAAACGGCTTATTTTATAAAAATCACCTGTTAACATGCCATCTTTCAGACAAACCAAGGGATATATTTCAGCAGGTGCAGGCTTTTGAGGAATCAACAATTTCTCATCAGACAATTTCAATTTGTCATGAAGGATTGCAAATGACATAATACAATCCTAGGAATAAATGTCACCTAATCACTTAATACTAGAGTAAGTCCCATAAGAAGTTTTTAGGTTTTGTACAACAACACAAGGATGGCCATGCTGACATGACTTCGTAGTTGTCCCAGTTCCCTCATGGCAATCTTTGACTGGGCTTCTGCAGTGTACAGCTCAGAACATGGTCCTTTGTGTTTACACTACCCCTTCCACTACATCCTCTCACTCAAATGTCTTCATGCCCCATGCCGTGGTTCAGCACGAAATATTTAAACAGTATTATCAAATTAGTATAGCACACAGGCATAATGGAAATTAAGTTTACAAGTTGTATAATCCAAGAAATGTGGCGTTTAGTAGAATAAAAGTATTGATGGATAAACCTCAAGAGAAAGAGGAAAGGAAATCACCTTTCAAAACACAAGGATATCAAAATAATACCATTCCAATCCAAGAACCATTTAGGTAAGCCAAACAGCAGAATGGATATCAGAATAAAAAAGGATGTAAAGAAAAATTATCATTCTTCAAGCACAAAAAGTAACATAGGACAGTCTTTCAGGATGGAATGCAATCCTAACCTTAGTTGGTTATTTTTAAAGGCCAGAATATGTCTAAATTCCAGACTACTCAATCTTAATACACAGAATACTCTGGAGAGTATTTAAGGCTGAGAATATCAAGGGATCATGTGGGTCGAGTTCTGTTTCCTGAAATCACAGACAGCCATGCAAATAAGCATCTATTCTGAGAGCATCCACAGCATTTCTATTCCACATCCTTTAGCAGTACTGAAGAAACAGATGATAGAAATTCATGGCATCACCAACGCTGAAGTTTCACGCAGCAAGAAATTTCCAAGAATTGAATAATGCCCCCCATGGCAGTAGAAGGCAAACAAAGCAATCAAGAAATAGTTCCTGAAAATCTAACAAGGGAAAGTTTTCTTCTTATCCTACACCCTGAGCAAGAAGGCATATGGGAAACAGAGATACCTTAAGTGTCTGCCACATACCCTGCTTCCAAGTGCTCCAGAGGAAAGCCAAATTACTTGGGAGCCAAGGTGTTCATCAGGGAGGCAAATAATCCCTGCAGGTAACTAGCAGAAGCTCTGCAGACACTATAAACGTGATTCTAACATATACAGTTCAGGTGTTTGAAAGGCAGAATCCTCCCAAACATCCCTGGAGATACCACTCTACCAGACACCCCAGATTCATTTAACTAGCACAAATTTTCATCACCCAAGGTTGTTACACAGTTTCTTTCACAGGTTTAATCAAACTCCATCCTGAAACTAATTAATAGTTCAAAGAATAATTACTCCTTTGAATTAAGTCATCTTTCTATATCAAGTGTCAGATGTACTAAATTAAAATATTTCCAAGTGAAGATGTATCATCCTACAAAGGTAACTAAAAATATTGACTTGTTTATCTATTGTTTAGAGGATCAAAATCTTTTTAAAAAGTCATTTATTAAGTCTTTCCTCCACAAATCAGATAGTAAAAATTATATGATATCTTAGAAACTAATCTTTTTTTTCAGGAAAAAAACTATCCACTCTTTAGGTTCTCCCCAGGTAAAAATCTGGCCTTTTTTACTAAGTAGTGACACTTCTTTCTGGGATCACAGTTGTGATAAACCCTTCAGGCAACACTAACTAAAATATAGTGGTTGACATCAGTGATCAACTGAGAGAAGATAAAACCACAAAGCCACAGCTATTGCTGTCAACCTAAAAAAAAAAAAACCTAACAAAAAACGCCACCAATAAAACACCACCAAACCAAAACACAAAACTAAAGACCAAAACAAAAAAAAAAAAAAAAGTGTGATTTTTCATCACAGAAGTGCTCTTACAGTTGTCATGAGCAAAGTAATTCAGTGAATAGGCATTAACTAAGCTGCTGGGTTCATACCATCTCATAGCGATTACAATGAGCAGAGACGATTAAAAATCACTACAAATGTACTAGTGATTCCAAAACAAGAGTAAAATGTAGACAACTGTGCAAAATTCGTTGTACTTCACCAGATGTTTCAGTAAAATTTCAGAGTGGTGTCAAAATGCTAAAGCAAAAAAAAAAACAAAACAAAAAACCCAAGCTAATTTCCTTTCAACTATTATGATTGGGTAGCATAAATAGTGTTGGGAAGGTGAAGAATCCCTCTGCCTTCCTCAGTTTTTCCTTTCATGGTGATGTAGTTAAAACTGATGCATAAAAGCTGTAGGTAAGGAAAAAGCACATCTACTATCAGCCAAGGTTATGACTAAAAATTCAAAAATTGTTAATAAATCTACAGAGAACACTGTCCTTTGTTTGCACTTTTTAATAACCTATTTAAGCACACCTAATGGTGGATAGAACAGATTTCTTATTAATCATTTCCCAATAATATTGATTTCACAGTTTTTTCCTTCCATCTGCACCTTCCATTTATTACACCCAGTCATGGAAGCTCATTCCAAGTTCTTCACAATAATGATACTCTCTCACTTTTTTTTTTAATGATGTGTGTTGTAATGGGACCCTAACTAAACTGTAGCACATTGTTTTTTACTATAACATAAACAGCTTACAGCTTTTTACAGTAACATATCATTTTCTTCTTGTTATATTATGACAAAAGCAAAGAGATACTTTACCCTTTCTGACTACAGAGGCTAACTGAACAAAAATTACCAAGCTAACAGAAACAACATATGAAAGTAGGATATGAATTCCATTCAATTTGTTGAAATAGCATTTATCTATTAATGTCTGTGTAGCTGCTTAGCTTCTTCTGGAGTGAGTTCCGGTACCTCAGACCATTTCTATGGAAAGCTTTTGGAATAGAACGGTTAGAGAGAAATTCAGGTGGTTGTTGCTTTTACATAGAGATTGGCTGTGCACATAAAATCAGTAGCCTTCAACTTATTCAGGTTAAATGAGGGATTTTCACACATTTTATCAAGCACCAAGTTTTTTTGTCTCTTTGAGCCAGTACTGCTAAGTGTAACTTTATTGCCTAAACACTTGATTCAGTGCTGTTTGCCTTCACATTTTCAGTTGCCAATACAGAAGCATTTCATTAAAGAGAGAAGAGTAGTTTCACGCCTAACTATGGCAGTTGTTTATGTCACAAGCATTTATTGTTTTCTACTGTTTGCATCAAGTGGACACAAACACTTATACTCTTTGCAACAACCTGCTTTGGAAAGAAAGATGCCTTGTAAAAGGTGTAATGGTGTATATGAATACACAAAACAGAAATGCGAGATGTTTTTAAAAAAACAAATAAATAAGTCAAAAAATACTGCTACATAAAACAAAAAACCTGGAACTTTCAAGTCTGGTATTGTTCAAATAAATGTACCATATTAATTATGCTTAGAAAGCTGGAATGGAACAGTTGGATTAGGTTTTATGATATGGTTTACTCCTAAGTGTGAGATTCGCTTTGACTGGTAGAAAAAAACATTGAAAGCCCTTATTACTCACCAATAATTAATTTGAAGCAATATAAAATATTTAATAAAGAAAAAAATTCCCCAAATCAAATACTACCACTCATCTAGGAACCTTTACAAATTGCAAAGACTATTCAGTCACTAAAAGCACACCTCTACACAATTCCATCTTTAATTTGACAGAGAATTTTAGAGAAGTAGGAAAGACAAATTTCAGGATTAAATGAAAAAGTAACTGGTTTAACTGGTAATTTCATTTTGAAAGTTTATTATTTTATAATTAAAAAAAAAGAAGAAAGGATCATCAACTAGCCACTTCACTGAAGTCAATTCTTTCTTTCAGCACATACAGAGAGCAATCGCTGCCAACACAAACACAAGTCATAAAATTTCATTCTCCTCATCCCCCCAAACCCTTTAACTTCTTCAGCCAAACAGCTTATTTCCTGCTCCCCTCAACAGGATTCCATGAGTTTGAAGTGATAATCACAGACACACCTTCAAGTGTAGGAAACAATTCTTAGACATGTCTGAAGAACATTCATACAAAAGAATGACAAATTATCTACAACAATTCCTTACGTACAAGGAAAAACACATCATATATAGAGGCAAGTTTGGTTAGGATCTTGATGCAGTTGAGGAGGTCAAAATGCAAAGCTAAGAACAAAATTAGAGAATGTTTTCCCACCTGTAGCTGCTGCTGCAAATGGGTGATTTCAGCAATTCTCAGTTCTCTAGATTTATTTGTACTTTCGATTTCTTGTCTTTGGGTAGACAGCCGACATCTGATATCCTGTAGCTTTCCCTCCAGCTGATTCTTTTTATCATTCTTAAAAAAAGAAAAAAAAAAGATATCTCTCTTTTTCTACCAGAATGGTTTGTCAGGCAAGTCAGGATCTAAAAAGTATTTTTATTCCACATTGAAAACTTGAAATTATAGAAAATAAACATGGCCATATCACAGCCAATATTGTGCTTGTGTGTTTTATCTGCAACAGGATCACTTACTAGAGCTTCCAGCTCAAATTCTAAGGTCTTTTTCTTTGCCTTCAGAACAACTATATCCTCTTGTTCTTTGTTTCTTTGATTTAGTAATTCTTGCCGACGATTACGCTCCCACTCAAGTTGCCTCTGCCTCTCAAGTTCCCGTTTTGCAGCCTGTACCATTTGGAGAAAGAAAAAAAAAAAAAGAAAAGGAAGTCTATTCTGAGAAACTATTCCAGTCAGTCATATTCAGATTCTCATGTGCAATCCAAACATTAATATAAACACACACTGCTAAGCTGTGGACTAAAATACGTGCCTCTTTCAGCACAGAAATTGCTCAATTGTTTAAATGCTCACTTGAAAGCACTGGTGAAATGGGGTTTTGCTGTAGAGCAGATAGGTGACTAAACAGTATATCACTCTATTTTAATCTCTTTCCCAAGATCCAGTTTTCTGATTTAACAAGTTGTTTCACATTTAGACTGGAAGAACTCTCCAGGACAGCACCAAATCTTTATCCAGCCTCCAACATTACACATTCTGAAGCTTTGCAAATAGTCAAATGTGACTGCACTGACTGCGTCATCATTTGGCAATATGAGAAAAAAATAACTTTGGAAGTTAACCAGTACGTGTTTCCTTTAACATATTAACTATGCTATGAATCATGAATGCCACCAATGCCCGTAAGTTTTTCTTCATTCATTCAAGCATCTTTTTATATCAAGAAAATAATTACTATTTTTTAAAAAGCCAGATGTTAGGAGCACATTGCCTTATATCTAAATATTCATTCTTTCACATGAAAAACAAAGAAGCAGAGAGATGACTCTTTTTTTACCTCCAAACCCCCAGAAATTTAAGTTCATTCTTTAAATGTTTGCTGACTAAAAATTACAGCAAAATATTTAGTGTAAACATTACATTTTGTTCTAATCAAGCACAGCTGCCAGTGACATAACCACCTTCTTTTTATCCAGTTGGTTACCTCTCTTCTTTCTATTTCTTTTCTCCTTTCCTCTTCTCTCTGCCGTTCCAATTCCCGTTGTTTTTCCAGCTGTTTCTCTAGCTCCAGTTGTCTTTTACGTTCTTGCTCCTGCCGCTCACGTTCTTTCCTTTCCTGCTCTGCCCGTTCCAGCTGTGCTAGACGTTCTTGCTCTTTGCGTTGCTGTTCCAAGAGAGCCTGCCTCCGTTTCTCAAGTTCTAGATTGCCACGTTCAAAGTTCTCCCGTTTTTTATCTTCAAAGGTAACTTTAATGTGTGGAAACATGGGGCAAAAGAGAATTAAACTCTGCTACTGACTTAAAAAAAAAATATCAAAATCTATATATGCTGAATCAAAGTGAAACAACCTTCCAACAGTACTAGACACAGCTCTAAACTACTGATAATACAGCAATATAGGAAATTATCGGTTTTATCAGTAGCATTTACATTGTAGATCCCCTTAAATCCACATCGTTAGGAAACCAAGGTGTAAATTTCAATCCCTATTTCTCAGGCTTCTAGGATTCTCCTCAAGCCCTACAGGTGGGTATAATTTAGATAAACCATTCACTAGCTAGTCCTCTGTGAGGACACAGGATCTGGAGTTCCTGTATACACTTGATAATAGTAGCAGTTTTGCTACTGTTCGCATTTGATAATAGTAGCAGCAACAAGAACCAACACTTCAATTACTATAAGGGAAAGAATTCAGCTGATGATATTATCAAGAAGCCATTATGCAAATGACCAGAATGTATTTAAACTTGATATTCTCATAAGATTACTCATTACTGTCAGGAAAAGAAATGGTTTGCTTAAGTTCTTGAGCAGCTGAACTCAGTAAGACTGGATTCCTGCAGATTTGCACGTTTGTCACTTACAGTCCTAAAGGAATGACCTCATTTCCAGCAGGCATTCCCTGACATTCTGCAATATCAGGAGTTGTCCTTTCCTTGCTCCACGTTCCTAGGTCCACCCCTTACAGTTCCTCCAAATTATTCTTTCCGCTTCACCTTCTGTCTCTTTTCATAATGAAATCTGTATGTCCTATTCCCATACCCCATATTCTGTATTTCTCTTCCTGCATGCTCAAGATGTACATTTTTGGCAGGGAAGAAATAGCACATATTTACCTCAAAGCGTGCATGCACTGTTTGACACATTTACTCAACATCTGCTGAACCAGCTGAACTCTTGTCTTTATTTAAGTTGGGCCCCCTTTCCTATTGCCAATTGCCAATTTTCATAAAACTTGAAAAAAATCTAACCTTTGATGTCTGTCAAGTTTGTTTAAAATTAGTTTCTCGGTTCAAAGAATATTAAGATACAAACTGATAGAGAATGTGATTATAACTCCCACTGATTTAGGAAACCAAGTAGAAAGGAGAAAAAAGAAGAAAAAAAAAAGTCATTTCAAGAAAATCAGTTAAAAGGAATAGGTAGAAAGACAAAACACTTGCAAATAGCATCGACAATAAGATACCATGTTCAAGGCTCAGAAAGAGCAGATTCTAAGATGACAGTCCAACAAGCTAGTACAGCTATTCAGGAAAATCAAGGTAGTTACAAAAAAAAGAAAAAAAAAAAAAATAAAAATATCCAAAGTACAAAAACAGAAGTGAGAAACTTCTAGCAACTTAAATACATAGCTATTGGCTTGTGTTATTATGCTTAAGAGAAAGCTTCTAAAAGGTTATAAAAGCCAACAATAAAAATTTTTTCAAATATCTCAAAATAAGAAAAAAAAACAACCCACAATACCTAGCCAGATTTAGCAAAGCCGATGAAAAAGCAAGATAACATACACTATTATCTTTACAATGGAAAATCTGCACATCAAATACAGTAAAAGGCTTATACACTCTAGCTCCTCTTCAAATGAAAGCAAAAATGGCTTTAAACCAAAAATAAAACCAAAAAATGAAGAATAACAGGTTGCCAAAGACAATTCCAATCCATAGTTCAAATACAAAATTCATGAACTACAAGCTGTGCTGTGCAATCCATCTTTTAATCAACATCAGTGCTGTAAGACTACAAGATGACAATTGAAACATCAGTATTTAAGAAACGACAGTATAATGATCCTGAAAGGTACAAACAAGTACCTGGCAAAGTAGCAGAGGCTACAATAGACAGAGAGTTACTATACATGACTAAACACGATACCATGGAAGAATCACGGCAGGAAAGTGCTGCTTCTCAAATCTAATAGATTCAATTGTATTCAGAGCAGCCCTGTGGAAAAGGATTTGGGGGTGCTGGTCAATGAGAAAATGAACATGAACCGGCTTCAGTGTGCACTCACAGCCCAGAAAGCCAACTGTATCCTGGGCTGCATCAAGGAGTGTGACCAGCAGGTACAAGGAGGTGATCCTGCCCCACTACTCTGCTCTCGTGAGACCTCACTCGGAGTATTGTGTGCAGTTCTGGTGTCCTCAACATAAAAAGGACATGGAACTGTTGGAACAAGTCCAGAGGAGGGCCACGAGGATGATCAGGGGGCTGGAGCACCTCCCATACAAAGATAGGCTGAGAAAGTTGGGGCTGTTCAGCCTAGAGAAGAGAAGGCTGCGTGGAGACCTCATAGCAGCCTTCCAGTATCTGAAGGAGGCCCATAAGAATGCTGGGGAGGGACTGTTCATTAGGGACTGTAGTGATATGACAAGGGGTAATGGGTTCAAACGTAAACAGGGGAAGTTTAGACTTGGATATAAGGAGGAAGTTCTTTACTGTGAGGGTGATGAGGCACTGGAATGGGCCTGTGAATGCTCCATCCCTGATGGTGTTCAAGGCCGGGTTGGACAGAGCCTTGGATGACATGGTTTAGTGTGAGGCGTCCCTGTCCATGGCAGGGGGTTGGAACTAGATGACCTTAAGGTCCTTTCCAACCCTAACTATTCTATAATTCTATTCTGTGATTCTATAGATGATCTTAAGGTCCTTTCCAACCCAAAGTATTTGATGATTCTGTGATTCTAAGTCCCTTTTTTTCCTCCTTTACTGCCTTTTTCTTTTTTTTTCCCTTTTTTTTTTTATTTTCCCCAAAAGCAGAGCTGCTAAGGCTTGTATCAAAAAACATAGTTACACAGACTTCAATGAAACAGGCTTCTGTATGCATACTGTGATCTTAAAAGTACATAAGGCAAACTACACTCCAGTTAAGTCAGAATGTGGAGTTAGTAAAAAGTTTTCATTGTACAACTGTAGGAGGACTGCAAAGTGCTGTCTCTGTTGAGAGTGCATAAAATGAGCAACCCAAATGTTATTCATCTCTCCACTGTCACTAACAGAAAGTATCATGCAATAGTAAGGAATTAGCTGGACCAAGCAATGTCTTGGTTATGCCTCTGACATGTCAAAAACTGATCTCAAAAGAAAGCATTTCTTAATACGCCTTTTTAACTCCACAGCATAACCTGATGATAGCATCTCTCTGATCAGAGCACACAATGTATCTCTGTTTTTGCTTGCTCACCAGGTAATTTCTTTTCCAGTTGCTGCTGTTCGTCTTCTAATGCTGGTTCTTCTGGTAACCTTTGGTCTGCAGACACTGAACTTCCAGCAGATATGCCACTACCAGAGCGTACTCTTCTGTCAATAAAGTGATAATTCCAAGTTGTTTAAAAGAATCTATGCCTGCCAAATATATTTATGATTTAATGATGAAATTATAAATGAAATGCCATGATGAAATGTTTACTGATATTTAATGATCCCTCAGTGTTGCCTAGAGGATTTCACTCAGCCATCGCCATTAAGATAATAGTACCCTCCAGAGTCTCAACAGTACACACCAGTGACCTGAAAAACCCAGTTTAAGGTTCACAGAACCATGCAGCTTCCAGATGTGTTCAACCCTGTCCCCAACATCTCTTACTTGTGACCAGTCTGAAGCTGGGGAAATGCCTATCTCAACTACAGGAAAAGTTGCAAAGACAGAGGAAGAGCTCAAGATAGTCAAGCTAAAAACAAGATCCCACATGGAATAAGCAACAAAATTGTAATCTTCAAGAGGATACTTGAAGAACATGAAGCTACCATGTATGGAAACATCTTTTCATTGCTGTCACTGTCTTCCCAGCCATTTCTCCACAAAAAATGTGAAATAGAGGAACAGAAGTAATGACTCATCACTACTATTCACACACACAACTGCCAAAAACCTCTAATTTGCTATAGTGCAAATCCATATCATGTTTTGAATTCCAATACATAGTATTTGCTCTAAAGAAATATAGGCTTGAACTTGAAATTTATATGGCTAGACTAAGTTTTGGAAGGTATGCTAGCATAAAACATTGACCGAAACTGTATTCTTACAAGGAATTCTTGCTACTTCCAGCATCCAGTAACTGTACAAAACCAAAAAGCTACACAAGCATTTCCCATCAAGGCAGCACTCTGTGACATAGATGCAGTACAAAAAGGAGAGGGATTACTTTTCAATTTCTTCTACTTCATAGTCACAGGACACCTTTCCCAAATGAAATAAAAATTTAGGAATGAGATTCCAGAATTATAACCCATTACCTAAAAGAAGGTGGAATATACTCTGGAGGCAGTACAGGTGGCAGCGGCTGACCAGACATAGCTACATCAATTAAGTGCATAGCCAGAATAAACTCTTCAGCTGTAAGTTTTCCATCTTGATCGATATCAGAAAGATTCCTTTTTAAAGGGAAGGAACAAAGTAAGTAAACTCTTAAACATTAAAAAGCACTGTTAAAAAGCATAGTATTCAGTTTGAAATTAATTCAATTTTTCACTTTTTTTTCCACACTACTTTGTTTCTTCAAAACAAAAAGCAAAACCCAAATGCTTCACTATTTTCCACATATCTCACACATCTGCCTGGAAACTATCTTTATAGCCATGGCTTCTACTTTGCTTGCTCTTTGAGTGCTGCCTGTACCAGATACTATGTAAATAACATTAATCAGTGGAGCTTTCTTGAACACTTTGTGAACAGCTACTACACAGCATCATTTAGAAAAGAATCAGCTCAGATGTTTGGTAGAACTTTTTGGTTTGGAATTCTTCTTCCCTGGAGGCTCCTATTTCACCTTCCAGAGCACACATCTGCATTAAAATCAAAGCCATTAACATTCTAGTCCTGACAAGCACAAAAATGTTTTAGCATTATACACTTGCCAAAAATTATGGAGTAACATCTCTGGATGACCTAAACCCGTCAGATGCACAAAATGCTTTTATTCATGGTAATGTGGCATTGGACAAAATTTAACAGCCTAAACATCAGCTTTGTTTCACTAGTGTGCTGCACTTTAATCATGCAGGAAAATGTCTGATGATACTGTGAAAAAAATCACAGATAAGCAACTGATACATTCTTTTGATGTCTGGAGGTACAGGACTGTTTTACAGGATTTAAATTTTGAAGACAATTACAGGCTCATTTGACCCATGTTTGTGTTAATGAACTGCTCAGGCTGGGGCATAAGAACAAGTCACTAGAATGAAAATCTAGCAGGCAGATATGATTGATCAGCTTTCCTAACAGTCTGGATCCACATCTTTGTACCAGGAATATGAGAACAGCTGCTACAAGAGTAGCTGACAGGCTACTTCACTGTACTTCACTTTGTGTGTCTATGAATCAGTGAATCCAGACCCAATACAGACTGACAAATCTGGCCCCAGAGAACAGCCACAGGGGTTCCACTACCAGAGAGAAAGTATCAGAAAAAGGAGCTACAAGCCGGGCAACAAAAGCTGTAGGATCAATTCCTTATCTCAGTAGACTTGGCAATTTTAAATGTCAAAAGAGAGTTATGTTTAGAGCTCCTGCACTACACTGACATCATTCCTCTGCCCACACAGCCTGCTTGAACACTGGCAACAAGCACAGTATTTTTTGGTTAATCATCTGCTGGATGACCGAGTTGATATTTTTTTCCTTACAGTAGCTTTATTAGGAAACAGGAGGAGAGAGTGCATTTTAAGATGTAATACAAACATCTGTGCTTAGCAAAGAAAGGAAGTGCAAATTAATTGCCACATTAAACTGACAACACAGTTGAAACCCTCAAGCAGGAGTCAGATGGGTTAGTGAGTTGACAACGGTTTTCAAGCAATGATGTAAAAAGTACAGCAGTTAATCAGAAGTAACATTCCATGTAATGATAAGAACATACTAAACTTCAGCAAAGAAGAAGTTGAAAGGAAAACAAGAAGCTGAGACAAATCCTTTTAAAATCCATTATTTTAAGTGTATGTAACTTCAGCCCCTTGGAAATAAGCCCTTAGAAACTCATCTAAAAGGCACAGAAGTCCCCCAAAAAAAGCAGGGTTCTGGATTAAGCTTCCTTTTGTACTACCTGTTCAAATCTGTGAGTTTCACTGGTGCTGTATCACATATGGCCAGGGATGTGGAAGATATAGGAGGCTCTACATTTTGTCTGCCTCAAAAACTCGTAACTGAAACCCAACTTACAAAACACCTATGTGCATAGTGTAAAAGATACTATTTTTAAATTTTGTCAAGTAATATTAATATAAGCATATCAGTGCAGGTTTTGTTCTATAAAGTGTCATTTAACCAAAAGCACTACATAAAGTTATACATTAAAAAAGCAACATGTAATGACTTATCAGTGGAGGAAGACTGAAAAGGGAGAAAAAGCCCACAGTATTCAGTATAGAGGTTCAAGTACTGTTTCCAGTTTGGAAATTGATAGATTTACCATATTGTAGCCAGCTGAGCCTGTGGTAAACTCGACTGCATAAGAATAGTTCTTGCTTGTGGACCTAACAAAGGGAAACAAAGATTAACAAACACATAAGCAACTTTCTCCTTTTCTTGCATTACCGAGTAGCTAAAGCACAAGCAGAGCTTAGTTCTGAATAAGATAACACTGAAAAGATGTTATCAACATTAACTAGGCTCCCCCCACCAAAGGAGAAAACTAAAAAGAGCCTCATAACCTTTCCCCTCTCAATAACAGGTTAAATAAAAATAAATGAGAAAAAAGAAAAAAAAAAGGCAAGCTATGAAAGTCAAAGGAGGTAGTAGAACTAAGCCAGTGTATCATTCCAGTTTGTTTCTGAAACTGCGTAGGCACCCTCATCAGTGGATGAGCTGAAACTGGAAATGGCTGCACAAGTTTTCACATAACCCACTGTACCCTTTCCAAGAATTGTTTCCCAGCACCACCTTACTTTGCAGAAAATAAAGGAAAGAAGGTGATAAAATTATCCCAGCTAGAATGAATATTTGTTTCTAAACAAGATCATTAAGCAGTTGGGAGAGTCAAACAGAAAAATGCTGATGGCAACAACAGAGAGAGACACTAGTCCTTTACTATGGGAACAGCATTTTAAATGCTACTATAATTGGCTTTTTACAGATTGAAAAAAGGAAACAACAGAAACTGCTTCAATACCTGTTAAGTGTCCACTCATTGTTTTATCATGGCTATTGAACAGCTGTCTGTACTTCAGTCGTGATGACTGAGGTACAGCCCACTCTGCCACAGGTGGCACACTGGAATTAGAAAAAGGATAAGGGGGGGGAGGGGGGAAGATGATTTTAAATTTATTCACATGAAGCTAACAGGTACAACAACATGACATGCTGCACAGAGATCAAGTTTTATGCTCAATATGGTTCTTTTCACAAATATTCCCTTCTACTCCCGAAACCACAACAGGTTTGATTTCTTGTTTGAAAACATTTATCATAATTCAGCATCTTAGAAGATGTTTTTTTATAAAGTTGAATGACAGGCCTAAGAGTTTTGCTTTTTTCTTTACTAGCGGAGAATTAAGTAACCTAAACAGCTCACAGTGAAAAGCCTTTACATAAACATACAACAGGAAACACCCGACAGCAGTCAGCAGAAAGTAATACCTCATTTTACCCTGTCTTTAACTGGTTGCGTTAGCCAAATAATTCATAAACTGATTAAGGAAAGCAAACATAAAATATACTGAAAACATTTTAAAAGGGTGAAAAAAGCTAAATCTGAAAGCAATCAATGTGCTTGTAATGAAGCTCTAATGACAAAAATAATATTCCCCATTCTAATTCATTCACATAATAGGTTGTGTTGAGTGCTGTTATTTGTAGCTATGATTTCCCATGTTTGAAGGCTGATGCGTCTTCATACTGAAAAACAATGAGCACAGTTCTTCTGTCTTTAGGCACATTTAAACTTTGTCCTTTTTTGTTAAGGCTGAAAAAGACACACACACACACACACACACACACACACACACACACACAGAAAAAGCAGCCAGATCAAATAAGCATTTGTAACAGCACCAAATTCCAGGTTAAAATAAAAAAAATAAAAAGAACCAAGCCCAGCAAATCGCTCTTCCCTGTTCCACTGAGCAGATAGCACCGTAAGATCTTTCAAGGTTGAGCTAAGAAGGATTATGTGAACACTCTCACTCTACTAATTGATCTCATATCCTATTTTCACATGACAACACCTGAAACAGCTAATACCTCTATTTCTCTTTTCTATTTCCAAACTACTGTGCTGAAATAATCCTCCATCATAGGAACAAAGCAAAACCAAGCTGCATCTTAAATAATGAAAACAAGAATTGAAACTCAAACAAAAAAAAAAGCTGACTACTGAAGTTTTATCCATGTCAATTCCTCCCTCACAAGTTTTGCCAGATTTGGAGTTTCCACACATTAAGTCTACTTTACTCTTTACCTATATTTGTACCTTGATCTGTGAAGTAAGGTTATTACACATTAAGTAATGAAACTCTCCTTCATAGATACTCAAATGGTACTTTTGGAGGAAAAAAAGGTTGGAGGACGAAACAGTTGACTCCTGTATGCCAAACACCATGCATGCCAAGAGTTCACTACTGGCGACTCGGCAGACAGAATTATAAAAGCACCACAAATGAAATTTTGAATTTCACCCTTCTCAAAATTCAAAATAATTCTCGGTTATGAAAAAAAATAAACAAAAAAACCTTCAACTTTACCTTTCAATTTAATGGGCTTAGCTCTTCTTCCTCCCTTTCCATAAACTCTGCAAATCAACTACCTTGCTATCTGTTTTCTCCAAAATAAAACTTGAAGACACACACCAGTTCATAATTCAGCATTAGCAGCAGTCTGGGAAGGAACTGCTGGCAGACGTTTCAGAGTTACTGAAGTAACAGTGTGGAGCTGAGGAAGCTCCAGTCTCAGCCCAGAGTTAGAGAACCATGCAATTTCACCTCAGAAAAGAAATCATCTCACCTGAGGTTCAGGCCTCTGTTGGCAATAGAAGTGACCAGTAAGAGACAGATATAGTGAACCCCAAAACTGTATCAGCCCTCTTATGGAATATCTAGAAGCCATCTCAGATGAAGTTTCTTGAACTCCATTCATTATAAAGACTAAGTGTTGTTATGACAAAGCAGATAACTTCTTGTATCTCTGAAAATTATATCAGAGCATCACTATGTTCCTAATACTACTAAGTTTCAAAGAGAAAAAAAATTGTTTGCTTTGAAAGATTTTTAATCCTATTTGACAATAGTCAGTAGTGTCCTTATCTAATACCAGGGCACAAGAAAAATTGGGAAAATAAAAAAAATTAAAAAATAAATTAAATAACATCCCAAGCCATTTTCTCCTTAAAAAAAATCTGTAGTACAGACCTGTAAGAAAGTTTGATTTATAAAGACTTGGGAAATTACTCTCTTACCCCCTCTAAGGAAGTTTGATTTTGTTAGATACATTTCATTTTGCCTAACCATACCTTTTCTTAGGCCTTGAAATAATCTAAAAGCCTTTTAGGTGATTTTTCATGCAGAACTTGAAGAATACACAAGAAACATTCATGTGAAATGCACTTAAAATATGAGAACTATTAAATATTTTGCTTTAAAAAATTAACCTACAGTTGCTAATTTTAAAGAATATTGCTTGTTATGTTTTCTCACTAACAGGAGGATTCTCACTAATAGGCCTATGTAGTATTACACAATGCAGATTATGTTTACAGAAGCAAATGCTTTTCTAAAAATTAAGTTTCCAAGAGTTTGTAAATAGTGTCAACACATACTGTAATAGTTAATTATTATATTTCAATGATTCATTACTCATGGAGCATTCCTTGTGAAACCACAACATACTATGAAATCCTGAAGTATCTCAGCAGGAATTGATTTCTGCAAGTAAATATTATTTCAGAAAACAACTTTGTGAAAGAGAAGTCATTTTTCTAACTCTGAGGAACCAGATACACACATACGCTCCTTCCTTACCAACTTACCTAGCCACATCAAATGATTGTGCCTTTTGCAGTTTTGCATTTAGCTGTGATCCTGGACCAGATCTAGTAAAGGAAGTACTCTTTGGCAATGTGGCTGTAAATAACAGAATACATATATTATATTACCATTTTAAAATGTAGAATTTCAGTGTTGTTCAGTTAGGTTCTAACAACAAATACAAGCATTATGATCCTTTTGATGGTACCACTTTTAAAAATACCAAGATAAACTAACAACGTCTAACAGAATAGGCGAAAACACACTTCCCTCATGTTTTTACTTTCACAGTTTGTGCAAACACTGTTGATATCAAATTAGATTGTGATTAATCAAATTAGATTGTGTTAGAAGTCATATGTAGTCCAGTATTTTAATGTAATCCCAACAAACAGCAGTACTTCAATGGTTATAAATATATCGTAGAGTACCATTTTCCATTTTGCTGGCAAGCTAGATTTATCACACCGCTCTTGTAACAGGGTTAATATTTCTCTCAACATGACCGACTGTTACAGTATGGTATGTCTATGTTTCTTTTTTTAACTTTTATACAAGTTTGCTAACCAATTACATTGGGCTAAACCAAAGTATAGTCTTTACCCAAAGTCACTCTTTAAAGTAAGTTAGAATGGCTAATTCCATGTCTACTGTTCTCTGGACCCAAAGAAAATGGCAAAATAATTTGTTAATAGCAAGAGAGTAAACAAAGTCTCAGTGTAGCATACCAGGATGAGCAAAAGCAGGCAGAGGCTGTATAACAGCAGGAGCTCCATTAGCCAGGGGAGGTACTGCTGCTGCAGGAACAGAAGATACTAATGGTGGAGACATTCCTACTACTGGAATAGATGCCATTGGCACTGGGGCAACTGATGTAAGAGATGGCATGCTGGCAATGCCCCCAATACCTAAGGGCAAGAGAAGGAGATTTTTTTTCTAATCTCGAGACTCCTAATACGATACAACAATTTAACTGTAGCCTGCAACCCAGCAGTAAAAGCAGAATTAAAGAGCAAACTGAAATGGAAACTTTCACACAACCCTTGAAAGAACTCTTACAGTTCACTGCACCATTAGCATGGCAGGGGAACATAAAACAATGCAGAGGGAACAACACAGCACTTTCTAATGTATGCATATAAGATCGCATTGGATGCAACACTAACCAAAAAAGTCTATTAGCATTTGCTGAAAAAAAGAATTGTTTGCCTCAAACTAAATGAAGAGCAGCACTGTCAACTTCCAGTGAGTAATGAACCCACAGCCTACATTTAGCCACAGATGAAAAGAACAAGATTCAGGGTAACTGCTTGCAGCCTATTTTCAAGATGAAACAGTGCAAAGCTAATAAGGTAAAGCACAGTAATGAGGTATTTTAGGTGTATGCACAGTTGCATGGATAACAGGAAGCATAAGGAGTTCCAGTCATGCCAATAGGAAGAATAAGGGTGTGTGCAAACAGCTGAGATCAAGTCTACAGTGACTGAGAATTAAAATCACAGGTTTTGCTGGTTTCCTTGTTTGGTTTTATTATGCCTTTTCTCACTTAAGCCGGTATTTGACCTCTTCAATTCCACTGATTTCTTACAGTCAGAAATAAAACTGTTTTTAAAACTTGTGGAAGCAACAACTGATCAAACAACATGGTTGCACACAGCTTATCAAATGCACTGTTCTTTTTTCTTAAGGACAGCAGTGATTCTCAGGCCCAAACCAAATCGAGTCCCAGTGACAACTAAAACAGAAAGGTAAAGAACTGCTCCCTACAGAATACAGCAAAACATCAAGGTGTCAAACATGAGATTCAGCTTCATTTAGTTACTTTCCCCTCATCATCCCATTTTCCCTACTTTTTACCTTGAAATGATGGCAACTTTGGCAGTACTTAACTATGAGAACTGAATCAGCAGCTGTTCTAGCTAATCACAGTGCAGCGCTGTTTCTAAAATAACAGCAAAGGGATGCATTACTACCATGACTTGTAAAAAGTCAAAAAAAACATAGCTAATCTTGCCAAAGCTGGAGATTCCTTGATGATAGCAGTTCAAACAAAAACTCCATCACTTTGGAATGTATTAGCCCTCATATTAGATCCATCTTTTTTGCCCAGAATCACTTTTGCTTAAAACACACAGGGAGCAGTGTAAGGAGACCTGAAGCAAACAGGACCTCAGCTTATGCTATTCAGTGTGGTTGGGTGATAAAAATTCATTGAGATGGGTTTTCTTGAGCACACGCAGGCATGTGGCAGCATTTGGCTTTGAATTCACGTACTTTTAGAAGTATTTTTTCTTAAAAGTTTCTTTTAGAAACTGCAAAACAACAATCAAATTCAACTTAGGTTGCTACAATACAAGCTGACAAGGAGGAAAACAAAGACCTTACCAAATCCTGGGGCACTAGGCAGAGCAACAGGTGGCTGCTTCATGACAGGAGGCAGTGCAGATGGGAGTTGATAACCTTGTAGTTTTAATTTGATAAGTTTCATTGCTATTGAAAACTCCAACTGATCCATCCTCCCATCATTGTTCATGTCAGCTAGAGCCCTACAAAATACATGATTTTCACACTTAGATTCTTAAATTATGAACTTCAGGAACTGACCTAAGACCATGCACACAAAGGCATGTTCGTTTAAGACTAATTAATTTCCCTTAAAAATATTTATGCCAGGCTAAAAGTGATCATAAAACTGGACACTGTTTAAACCAAGAGCTTCTTTGCATGATTAATGAATATTGTTTAATTCACTTTTCAATTCTTAGAAGAATTACAGTGGAGCACCTAAAGAAGGATTAATGTAGTTCTACAAAAACCTTGCAAAATCACACAAATGAAAATAAATGGTACTGCAAACAGCACCACAGAGAATCAAATTATTTAATCTGCAAATCTGCACTTCAGCTGCACTTAAAATGAAACATTCTTTAATTCTGTGCACTTTACTAAACACTTGCTACATCTGCAAGTGTATAAATGTTTTCAGTTAAACAATAGTACTCAAGATAAAATATTGAGCCTAGACCTTGAATAGGCTTTCATGCAAAGTAGTCTGACTTAAAACAGTCTTCTTTTTGTTTCTTCATTTGATGGTTAAGAAAACCATGCTCAGCAGGGAATAGGGCTAGGCAGTTGGCAGGAGAAAAGCAGGAAGAAGAATGTTAGTTGCTGCAATTGCAAACCAAAAAAACAGAGTAAATGCACATTAGTAATGTGATTGGTTATAAACTTAGTTTTAAACATTACGCTTATTCCTTTGCATTCATTTGGAGAATTAAGTGCACATTTCAGTATTGGAATAATAGATATTTGAAAGTTTATGAGTACATTTATATGGCATGGACATGACAACGTAAAGGACCCTCACAGACTAGTTAAACTAGAGCTTTATGTCTGATCAAATCCCTGCCAAGGAAAGCTTTCATGCAAGTATGTGAACAGTTATCAAAAAAGTACTGCAATAAATTGACAGTTATTTATAATTGAAAATAAGTAGACAGCCAGGTAAATGAAATGGCAAAGCAGTCACAAAAATGAAATCCCTCCCACCACAGCCAAAAAAAAACCAAGAAAAGTCAACGAAGTGGCAGATCCCAGCAGCGGTTGCCACAGGCCAACCATACATCTTAAAGAGTTTCCCCTGGTTAGATCACCAGTAGCATTTCCCCAAAAATGGAGACACTCCAACCCTTCCCAATACTTTTAAGACTGTATTTTCAGCAGTGTCAACTGTCTTAATCCACTAATTTTGATGTCACAAGACTAAATAATACTACTGACAAACTGGCAACAGTATCTAAAGAAAGAGAAAGTCTGGTGAAAGAAACTGTAGACTCTGAGGCTTACAGTTAGAAAGAAAAGTATGCACTGCACCACTCCCTGAAAGATAATGAATTACTACATATATTTCATTGAAGAACAAGTTTTGGATGTGAGAACTTCTAGGTGTTATAGAGAAGTTTAATTTACACAAAAAATCTGTCTGCTCTTTTATAACTTTAAACTTTCTTCTTATTCCACTACCACCAAGCCTTTGGGAGCCTAAATTTAGTATAAACTGGGACTATCCTGGGACCCACACAGCACAATGCAATTCAGATTCAAGTTTCAGTCACGATCACTTAGTATGCAGTTCATCTGACAAGTAATCAATAAAAATGATCCTACTGTAGCAGCCAGACTTGATGTATGGTAGTCCAACCAGCAGAAGGAAGAAGGAAGGCCAGCATGGCAGACCTGGGCCAAGAGAAGCATCAATTTGGAATGCATGTCTCCTCTTCTTTGCAGGACACCACTGCTCTAAAGTCTGTCTCAGCTTCTGATTATTCTTCCATGAAGAGCAAGAGACACACTAATGCTTCCTGATGTACTGGCAGGCTAAGTTAAAGAGGAAGATGCAATAGTTTTGTCTTCGCACAACTTGCAGAAAGAAGTGGGAGAACCCTACTGAAAGCAGAAAAGCCTTCCTCTTATGAGTGTTAGCAACAAGGATAGACTGTAATAGCTGTTAATGATTAATGTATGTTATAAAATGAGAGTATAATTACTTCTAGAAAATAGCTAAGAACACAAAGTAGGTTTCTCACATTTTGTTACTGAGGTTATCCGTATTTGGTTAATTCTGAAGTACAATGGCTTTCTCTGGACATAAAAATACTAAGAGTTTATTAGCTTCCATCTTATTCTTCTGTCCAGTGGGGTGTATGTACCACAAGCCACTATAAATAAACCTGCAAAAAGATTGCACGTATGCAGTATGTCGTGCTTTTCCTCCTATACAATGAAATGGGTATAAATCTCAAAAATACATTTATTATCTCTCTAAAATTTTCTCTACAATTGATTTGTTTGTATCAACTCAAAATTCCTGTAAAAAGTCCAAATTAATTTTTAAGGATTTCATAGCTTAACTATGACAATTAAGACTATCCACTCTGCTTATTTTTCAGCTGCAGGATGGAAGTGTCCCACAACATGCTGTAGAATTTTTGCTGCCCAAAATCACTTATTAGGCTTATAAGGAATAGTATTACTCAGTTCATTTCATTTTCTTCTTCATACACCTTTTACTTTTTACTATCAAAACAGTTCCTGAAACATCTATTAGTCACCACCTATTAACAGCAATGTTAGAAGTCTAACTCAGGAAGAAAACATGCTGCAGGTCTTACAAACCCAAAACATTCAAGAAGCAACAGGTATTTGGAATGTTAGAATGTCAGAAACTTAATGGCTAAATGTATATTTTGAAGCACTGTCATTTGTGGGGTTTGCAATAGAAACTGAACTGACATACACTCAATGAATACTAAGGGTGAGAAAGCCTCATTAGAAAATTAAGACTCTGAAGAACTCTAAAACCCAGGAGTAGATAATTTGATTCATTTAACTGATGCTTACAGACAGCACACCTTTTTGAAGGCAACCAAAGAAAATTAGAAAATATTCAACAAGTAAAATGTGTGGTGTTTTTAATGAAAGTTCAGTTCAATATTTGCTTATCCATTCTTCTGTCAAATGCCCAGTGGAAATGGGGAGTGAAAAACAGGCTTGTATGGCTAGAAAGTTGAGGATGTGCATAGGAACAAAGCTAGAGAAATTGATCCTGATAAACCTGTTCTAGCAGATTTTGGACTGCACTCAAAGAAGTCAGTGGTCTTCCCAAAGACAGCTTATTCCTCAACATACAGAGAAGTCAGTAAGCTCCATAGTGACCAACTGGCACCAACAGCTCAAATAAATAGTCACAGAGTTCCCTACATCTTTGCTTTCAAGCAAAATAATTACACAGGTTGTATTTATAATAGTCTTATTTGTTCAACCTAACAGGCTTCTACACTTACAAATATTCTGACTTACAAAATTTAAGCCTTTCCATTACTAAAGCACAGGAAGAGTCCCTCAATAATTGCCATGAAAATACAGTAAGAGTAAATAGCATAATGTAGGCAAACTTGATTCTCCAGGCACTGTTTACAGAGTCTGCTGCTAGAATACTGTAAGTCTTTGCATTCTACATAAGAAAATATTAATTGTCCAGTAATAAGAAACTTTGATGTGCACCAGTCTCTCTGCTTTAATGAAATCCTATTCACATACTCATCAGTAGCTTTTAATTTTGTCTGACCACCTGTTCAACTCATTTACTCTACATCAATGGCTTTGTTATTTAACTTAACAGCACAAATTTGTAAGAAAAATTATGTACACACTACAGAACTTATACATTCTGTATGTAAGAATGTATACATTCTTACAGCATGCTAACGAAAATCAGCTAGTCTTACAAAATCTTTAGTGCAAGAATAAGACAAATTTTAAGTTCTAATTACTGAGCCTAGTATCATGCTGTCAGATTGCAGTGCTATTTTTGAATAAACATCACCTTAAAGGCAGTGAGTGGCTGACAGTACACACAACCCCCTCTGCTTCTAATGAAATTTGGAAGAATGTAATGTCCTTAAATTTGTTTCATTTAAGGTCTGGCCGGAACCAGTGCAGAGCAGTAAGTAGATTAAACCTTGACTAAATATTTATCATATTTTATCCAACAGGCTTGTGATTATAACAGGGGTTTTCTAATGAGAATAGCTGCAGTGGGCTTCATCACAATGCTAGGTTTCAGGTGCTGACAAAACTGTTCCTCTGCAGATCTTTTCCTCTTCCTTTATCTCCTCTTTTCTACAGCATGCATTCTGCATTTATGAAGCACAGAAACTGATCATGTATAGGGTTTTTTTCCCATCAAATATGATTATGACCAGCCTATAAAATGTCTACCTCTATGAAAACAGCAGAGTGTTAAAACAAGGAAATCTCCTTGCAGTTCAAAAAAAATCTGGATTTATTTAGCTTTACATTCCCATATTAGATTATACAATCACATGTTGCATTATAAAATGCAGACATAATTAGTGAGAAGAAATTATGTCTTTAGCATCAGTCATTTAATCAATACATATGTAGTAAGACTTACAACTCATATAACCTCATATTACCTTACACCTCATACAAGTGTGAGAGTACAACCCTTTACTCCCACACTTGGACACAAATTTAACAAGGTTTGAGAAGCATATGTCAGAAATCAGTAAGTCAACCAATGGCTTAAATCTGTCCTGGAAAAATAAGTTAACTCTAAATGCACGAAAAACAGATGGCATTGATTATTTTAGTTCTCATTTAATTCCAGAGAAACAAGCTACATGGAAGTTGCTTTTTGAGGCCACCATTCATAACAGCTTTAGAAGAAAGCCAGATTATTGCCTACTTAAAAACACTTATCTTCTGAGCCACTGCAGTCTCAATTCAAAGCCTACTTAGAGCCTTCTTAATAGATTACCAGCTTGGCAGACTCCAAAGCTTGTAAAAGGTAGAACAGTAAGTATGTTGTCATGACAGACCTTAATAATTCCAGTAATTTGCTCTACTGAGGTCCTGAAGACTTTTCTTAAATGAATGATGAGTAGAAGGGACACAGGAATTCTCAATGCTAAAAATCATGGAGGTGCTATTTTTAAGGAACATGAATCCTGGGGAAGCTTTGATTAATAGCAGAAAGAAATTACAAGATATACTCCTTAGCTTATCATCCTCTAAACAATTACATCAACTGCATAATATTCTCAAAGCAGCTCTTGAGGCAGAAGACATTTAACTGGTACTTCAGCTACCTAGCTAGCATTTCCTGAAGTTCCAGTCAAAACAATTTTTTCATGATACAAAAAAGACAATTCAATTTTAATTAAAATTAGACAGTCAAAATCCTTATATTGCTCATGCCAATAAAACACTCTCACCCATGAAATAATACATTTGGAAACTCAGAGAGATACAAGGTTTGCTTTTACTGTGAAGAGCTCTGAAAGCAGTAAGGTAAATCAATCATTGGGCCAATCCTTCCCCAGTTCCTTTCCCAGTCGCGTTTTTCTGTACAATAACTTTTATAGCCAACAAAACAGATGAAACTTTGTATTAACATAAGGCTGTCTACATACAGCTGTAGGTAATCCTTCATGAAATAAATGCCGGGCTCTTAGGTGGCAAGCAGATTAATACTATCAACTGCATTCACAATAAGTCATGAAGAATAGGAAAACACTTCTAAAACACCACATACACACACCTACATATTTCTAGGATCAGAAAATTAATTTGAAGAGTTTCACAAGTTGCTCTACTCAGATAAACAAGTTTCCTTCCTTAAAGACTGTTGTACCTCCCGTTCTCTCCCACTAGTAATTATATTCTCTCTTAAAAAAAAAATAAAAAAAAATACATCTAGTCAAGAAATAAAGAATTTGGACACAAAAGAACTTTTATGCAGCTCATCTGTCTCAGAGATTTTGGGATCTCTACTCCAGAACTCCCCCCCCACCCCCCCTTAAAATACTCATGGATCTATGTCCATGTTACTAGAGATTTAGATGGGCAACATCAGAGTATTGCTATTAATTCACAAAGCAAGTGTGCTCCTTTGAGATCTTACCCCTGGCAGCTAAGACAAACAACGATTCACATTTTTCTATGCAGTCTTGAGCATATTGTGATGTCCTCTGCAGCCTGCAAAGGACTTCTTGCCACTAAACAGTCTGACTTCTATTGTTTCTGTGGGACAGCAGTAAGCTATGGTAGGTTACAAATAAACGTTCACTGATAGATCAAAAGAGTTAAATCATTCAAGTTGTGGAATAAAAGAAGGATGTTCCTTTTTTTATTTTCTATTTTTTATTTTTTATGTTTAAGAGGAAGACCTCTACCACTACCACTATGCAACTGTTCTCCTACTTGGTTATTCTAATTCCAACTGGGAATATATATAAGCGATCTAGATTTTTACTCTAAATATTTACTTTTCTTACTTCAAAGATAACTGAAAAAGGGAAGGAGACAGTGAGAAAGGCACATCTACATACTTTTTTATGATTTATAAAGGCAGCATGAATAAGTTTTAGTTCAGCTTTATTTAAAAAATGTGCAAGTTCAGGCCTGGTCTCTATGACAACTACGGAACTAGTGGAATGATTCCCTCCCTTCTCAAGAGGCTGAAAAACTGAATAATTCAGAGAGGAAGAGATTTTTAATCAGACTATTTACAATCATTCAGTTTTGTTAACACCTATTTTAAGCTAACGCCTATGGAACATTTTTTGAAGAAAGGATACCTTGTTTAAGACAAAACTTTTTTCCTTGTTTAATTAAAAGGTGAAAGAAGTTCCAAAGGAACATTTGAACTTTCACTGCATCTAAGGCAAATAAGATAACCAGACCAGATTTGATATTTGTAAGATAAAGATAATTTTAAAAGAAAATGAGCTATTTATTTAAAAGCCATGTAAATCCAGCAATGTAAACCCTATGTTTCCAAAGCAACTGTTTTTCTTGCAAGAAAAGAATTCTTTTCTCTCTCCAGTCGGAACAACATTCTGCCTTCAGAAATCTTTACTACATTAAAACGTTTTTATAACTGCAACACACTACTCTTTCAAACAGTTAAAAACAGAGGAAAAGTTAACAAGTTTGGCAAAAGCTATCCATCCCTCTGCTGCTTTTTTCAAATCTAGAATTTGACCAGCATTATTTCACTCTGTCTAGCACCAAAGTCTTAGTAATAATGTAATTTATATAAATTATGAATAATCCATGCAAGTTAGCATGTTGAAGTCATATAATTTGGAGCAGAAAGAATTACAATCCTGAACGAAGAAACTGGCAGATTGCAGAAATGTACGTAATGTGTAATATACAGCAATGGAGATTCTGATCTGTCTAAACTCACCAAAGAATAGTAAAAATTTCAAGCTTTCAAGCTGTACCTCCAACTACAACAGAAATAGTCTATGCCAGTCTTAATTTTTGTAACAAATTTTGCAAGGTTCGTTACTGTCCTGGTCTGTACCAGTAAACTTCATTCTGTGATATAACTGCAATTCTCCCATCCCCTCCCATATACTCACCATATCTGTGCTAATACCGGTTGAGGTAACCCAGATTGAAAAAAAAAGTTTCTAGCTTGATCACCTATAAAATAAATAGGACATCATTTTAGAATATGCTAAAAATACCTGCAAGAAGAAAGAGGAAATAATAAGTCAAAAATATCTAAACAGAAACAACAGTAAAACCATAAATACTTAATGCTAGACATACATAACAGAGTATAAGACTTAAACTTCTCTTGTCCCTTGCAAACCTACCAGATTATTTCCAGCAAGCATGTCCTGTTAAAGTCTGAGACAATCGGCACCACATGAAGTCAACTGTGCATAAACATATAGGGAAATGGGAAGCTCATGGTTCACAGTCCCCAACCTGCATTTATGGTTCTGTTTGCAGGAATCCTACACCTTGTGAGAATAAGGAAATTTTTTATGCCAGGAAAGTATGTATCAATATAAACTCCATCTTAGATTTCTTTGGAAGTATAATGCCAGTCAGCTAGTACAAACTAAATAAAGTGATCTTTACCCTGAGAAGCCACTATTAAAGAAAGCAATGGTATATTTCCAAGTCATTTTCCAACTATCAGTTAAAGGTGAGGATAGCAAAACAGTTACAAAAGGATTAGGCATTTGGAAATAATGTGGTCTGTAAAGGAAATTTATAAACAGAACAGAAATAGCACTAAATATCCAAGGAGGTCAATAAAGCCAGTATTATTTTGTACCAATCTGTTATGTAACATTAGCAGAAACAATCAAACTGTATACTTGGAGGCATGTTTGGCTCCAATGAGATGCTGCTAAGAATCTAATTCCAATTTCACACTCTGGAAATCTTCTGGATGGATCAGACAGTAAGAAAGGAAAAACACTTCTATACCTTTCACTTCAATTGAGCACCAGAGTTTAGATAGCTCTAAAGAAAATTAAATGCAAAAAAACCAAACTGACAAAAAGTAGGCATAGTAGGCATCCTATTGCTTTTAAAACCAAAACAAATCAGTGGTGGTCCATGAAAATTTAGTAGTATCCGTATAATTCCTTTACTTGCAGCTTTGCTTCCCACAACTTCAATTGATTTTGCAATTTAGAATTTTTAAAAAGGTCATTCATGCTGATTTCACTTGTTTAAACAATCAGTTTCTGAAATAGATTTCAGTTAAATTGATACACCCTTATTTATAGAGTTCTTAACCTATTAGTGTGTTAGCATGGTGGATTGACCCCAGACAGAAACTAAGCACCCAGTCACTCTCTCACTTCCTTCCCCCCAGCAGGATGGGGAAGAGAATAGGGAGAGCAGAAGTGAGAAAATTCAGAAAACTAGTTGGCCTCAATAAAGACAGTTTCATAAGTGAAAGAGTAAAACAACAAACCAAGACATGATGCAAAGGTAATTACTCACCACCTTCCTCAGCTCAGGCTCTGAGCAATGGCTACCTTGGAAGACAACAGTCCCCCTTCTCAGTTTTTGCTGAGTATGGTGGTATGGCATAACCCTTCAGTCAGTTGAGATCAGCTGTCCCTGCTCTTTCTCCTTCCCAGTTCTTTGACCATCCCCAGCCTACTCACTGAGTGCAGAGTAAGAAATCGTGAAAGCCTTGAGGCTTTGCAAACACTGTTCAGCTATAGCCAAAACATCCAAAACACAGCACCATACAGGCTGCTGTGAGGGAAGTTAACTCCATCTCAGGCAGACTCAGCACAGTGAGCTAATTCACTGAGCACATCCAAAGCACTATAAATATCACCAGGCATCGGGGTGATTCCACATCCTAAATTCCAGCTCTACAGTTCATAAGTATCAGCTGGCTATACACAATAGAACTGCTTTACAGAGCAGTTGTAGAATTATAAATAATTATAAATCATTTTAATCCTACTTACAGAAAAATTAAGTGGCATAAACCAGGTATATAGCTGGTAAGTGTCAGAAAAACACCAGAAAACATCAGAAAAGACGGGGTTGATGTGGCAAAGCATTGGAAAAATTGGATATACATTTTTCATTTAGGCAACATTCTCATTTATGTAATTTTTCATTTTAAAAGCAAGATCTGCCCAATTTTATAAATTTGTATGCCCAAATGTCTCCCAGGCAACTCTCTCCATATTTAGGCTCATTAGTTAAGACTTTATTAAATGAAATTAGAAGTGAAAACTATTTCATTACCAGTGATAAATCCAGATGTTGGTTTCAGACTGTGGAACTGCTGATCGTGTTTAGCTCTCTCCTCCACAGTAATAGCCCAGATATCCAGGTTGCCTAGTTCAAAAGAAATGGAGAAATAAAATTAAGAAACATTATCTAAAAACTACACTATTTGTATTTCTGAGTGTAATTATAATCATACTGGACCTCTGAAAACAACATACACACAGAAGCCATTCATCCAAAGCCTATAGTTGAAAGCTTTATGAATCCTTAAATAGCCAGTTAGGACTTACAAACTTACCAGAACTATGTGATACCAAATGAAGAGGACTGCTGAGCACTGACTTATTTACCTGGCTCATTCAAAAATTAAAGTTACAACCAAGCTACTTAAAGAGCAATCAAACTTACAAATGGGCAACAAAAGACAACATCAGCACACCAGAGGATATAATGCAGATAGTTCCTAACACTAGATATTTAGGGGGTTGCAGATCATTTGCCTCTCAGAGTATACACAGCTGAAATGCAAGTTCTTTTAACTGAAAAGATACCTCAAATAATCAGTTGTGTACTACATGGTTTTGCACTATTGTAAGAGAAGAATTCTCCTTACTTGTCTAGGAAAAGTGTGATTCAACCAGATAGTAAACATTTCTCATGGGCAACAACAGCACAGGAAAGTGTGCTCCTCATTCTTCTGAGAATAAGAAATCTGAGTAAAAATATGTTACACAGACAGATTCTTCACATCACACTCATAAATTGGAGGTGAATATTTAGTTTACATTAAGATGCTCTACCCTTCCCCAGTGCAATGCTTTCTCTATTTTTGCAGCAATTTCTCTCCTCTCTCTCCTCTTGCAGACTTTTCACTTCTATCCTCCAGATTATTTGTACTCAGAGCAAACATATTTCAACTTCCACTGGAGACCTCCAGGCCTCCAATGAACTCTCTAACACCGTGTTTCAGGTTTCTCTGAACAATTTCTAACAAGTACAAATCCTGGTTTTAACATCCCTACAAGTACATTGCACCAGTGTATCTTCCTGTAACTCCTACACTATAGATAGGAATGTACTGATATGAAAGCATCCAGTTAATGGAATCACTGTTTTATTGAAGTAATAGTAAAAGATAAAATGTAGACTTGCAGAAAAATACAGAGGAGATTCAGCATTCCCTCTGTCTCAGCACTAAATTCTCAGAGATTAAATTTCAGGTAATAAGGTCCACAAACATTTACAGCAAGTATTTCAAACTACTTCAAGACTATAGTAAGATAATATAATAAGTAATATAACTGGTTGCAGAACCAGACTCAGCAGTTATGAAGAACATGAGAATTCCCCGTCTCCTGAATTACTGCTATTTAAAATCTACTTTCATGTGGCAAAATGTACTTTGGAGAGAAAAGAAAGTCGACAAGGCAAAGAAAAACATTCCTTTAAATAGTAGATTTCTTTGACAGAAGAAAAACTATATTCTTGGTAAAAAATTATCATCTCAGTTTCAGGTAACCTATATATTTCTAGAAGCAGACAGGCTAATAATATCTAATTCAATGAAAGGATGTATTAAGATTAGTCCAAAACTTCAAGAATGTTAGTGATTAAGCTCACAGAAACACTGTAAACAGATTTCATAGCTGTGCTCCCTGTGGGGATGGAACAGGATTCTTCTTTGGATGAACATCCTAAAGCGCAGGTAAGCAATTATCTCCCCCATCTTCTCATGAACTGGCTCATTCAAAAATTAGTTACAACTCTGGACAGAAGGAAAGGAATAGCGTTGATTAAGACTTTATGACCAGTATGCAGACTGAGCCAACCAGAGGCAGATGAACATCACTCCCTGTATTGGAAATGACTGCTCCTGCCTAAGATGCCGAGGCTGGATGTGGCAGAAAGAATTTCTTTATAAAGCAGAAAGACAAAAAAACCCGAACAAAGAAACCGATATGAAATTTGCAATGATTTACTGGCTCGCTCTCTCTCAATTTGAGGTATGCATGATCCAGTACCAAAAAACCCAAAAAACCCAACCAACTCTCCACCGCCAAACAACAAAATACCCCAAACGCAGCTGTTCCCATCCTTCTGCAAAGAATTCAGTAAAACACAAACCTAAAAACTCTTATGGCATGAGGTAACTAAAAATGTATTCTATTAACTGTTTTATCAGCAAATTTTGTCGATTTGTTCTCTGGAGTCTCTGTAACTGGAACACATGCACAATTGTCAATATTTACTCTTCCAGATAGAGATTCAGTTGGTATTGAAACAATAAATCTCCTTTAGGATATCTACTATGGGAAACAAATATCAAAGGAGCCAATGTTAAACCAAGCAAGCCTAGTAGCTTCTCTTCAGTCAAAAAAATATGGCTGGCATCTCTGGCATTGCCTTATTTCCATCTTCTGTTATTTGAGGAAACAATAAGAGCTATGGGAGGACATGTGGCAAGATCTTACTCAACACTAAGCCATCGTTCCTGGTTTCAGATCCTGGATGCCAATACAGAGGTGGTTTGGCTTTTCAGTACATTTGGGTACAAAGAAGGCAGTCACCAAACCACAAAATTAACTCATAAGCAAGCTATTCTCCATGCAACAGCAAGCCTCTAACCATCTTTTCTTTGACATGGCTTAGCAATCCCCTCATCTGCAAAAGGGAAGCAGTGGGCTCTCATATGAAATGAGCACTTTCTTCTCCTGGACAAATCAACAGAAGGTCAGGCATAGCACATTTCCCCCAACAATTACAAAAATCCAACCAAACCTTTTATTTTATTAGTCATCCTTAAAAGTAGCTGTGTTCTGGAATATAAATGAGTCACCCAATTTAAAAATTGGGTGCTGTGCTCTCTCCATACACAAGCCGACTTGAAAGATTCTTTAAAAAGAAAGGAAGTGAATTAAAACCAAAAAACATCATTACTGCTATTCACAAGGAGAGGGATACCAGATATTGCACATTTGGAGTGAGGGCTGTCCCAAGATGGAGACAGCATATATCTTCTCCTCTCCATCTTGTTTGGTGACTACAGGTAAGAGAAAATGTTGCATTCTCTAAAGGATGATAAATTTCCCCATAAAAACTGGAATTTTCTTGACACCATTTGTTTCCTCTCACAACATTCTTAGACTTTTGCTGTCATTCTTCTAAGAGGAGGTATGATGCTCCTTGGTAGACTTGGTTCAAGTATGAATATCATAACAAACTCCCCTCACACTGCACTACAAATTAAAGCTATTCCAGAAACTACATTAGCCCCATGCTTATTTCAGCTTCCTCTTTGTAGAACAGTCTGATGCACTACACAGAGGCCCTTCCTGGATTTTTCAGATGACTGAAGTTTGAGATGCTCTACCTTCCTCTATTATAAATGGAGAGCTAAAAAAAAATACAGCACCTTTGTTGTAATCTAAACATGGGTTTAGGGACAACAAGGAAAAGAAATTTGAAGTGATAGTATCCATAGACATCTGCAGTGCTTTTTAGTAACTAAAAAGTTCATGAATCCTCAAAGGAAAAAGCATTTCCACTTCTTAGTCGTAACTACTGCAGAATGAGGCTATGTCCTATTGCCAGTGGCTGAGTGGCCTGGACCTACCTGCCCTACAGTTACAAACTATAGGACTGTAATGGATCAATGCACAAAAAGGGATATAGCACAGCTTTTCTGTTTGACTCTTCTGAGATGCCTCAACAAAATTGTATGTTTTCTCTAATGGGTCTGCATAAACATCACAAAATCACATAAACTATCATTTCAGAAAGATACTCCACAAACAGGAACACTTCCATAGAGAACATATTCAGAAAGCAGCAGATTTATGCAGAGTTTTTGTATATCAGAATAGCTCAGAATACACTATAAACAACTTACCCCCAAAAGGTGTTGGAAACTGAGCCATGGTTCTGTAAGTTTTAGCTTGCTAAGAGATGCCTGAAAGAGAAAAACCAAAACAGGTAATCAATTACAGTATCCTCCATTTTCAATATATTTTCTGTATTACCATACAGAATCATAGAATAGTTGGGGTTAGAAAGGACCTTAAGATCATCTAGTTCCAACCCCCCTGCCATGGGCAGGGACACCTTACACTAAATCATATCACCCAAGGCCTCGTCCAACCTGGTCTTGAACACTGCCAGGGATGGAGCATTCACAACCTCCCGGGGCAACCCATTCCAGTGCCTCACCACCCTAACAGGAAAGAATTTCCTTCCTATATAATTAATTAATACAGCAAAAATAAAGGCAATGAAGAAGTAGGAGCATTTAAATACTATCAGCAAAAACTGTTACAAGAGAACTAATTTTTTGGTACCACGCTATGCATCCATGAGTGAGTTTTCATGTTAGCAAACAGCTACATTTCAGTTCTGTTCCAAGAATGCCCTCAAAAACAATCTTCACTGGTCTAGTAAAGAAGAGAGTTAAGTCAGCTACAACAGGCAAGATCTCAGCAACACGGCTCAAGGCTACGTTACTTTATGGCACGTTAGAGCTCTGCTCATACTTAAGAGCAAAATTGGCTCTATTTCCAACTGTTGAAAACATACAACATTGTCAGCAATCTGGTTTTTATTCCTGAGAGAAAAAAATCATGAAATGCACCATCTTGCTTGGATTTCCTTTGTTTTAAATAAAGTACATTAAAAACTGAAACTAGATTTCAAGACTGCTTTACCCCAAACTAGCCCACAAATTTAATAAGTACGTCCCCATGAACAAAGTGCTAAAGGTGACATGGCAAGCAAAAACGCATTGGTTGGTGGGAGACATTCTTAACACTGCTTGCTTTTCAAATGAAAGCAAACTTCACAGTCTAGAAATTTAATCTTTAAAGAAAAAAGGGAAAACATTTTTCTTACTCCACACAAAGACTGACATGAACTGCCTGAGCTAAGAGGACAATAGCTAGCAATGGAGCCACAAAACAATACAAAAGCAGCCTCTTGTCCTACTAGATTCCACTCGTGTTTTCCAGGCAACAGGAAAAAAGCAAAAGGAAACAGAATCAGGAGAATAATTTAGACTGTTTGAACAGCAGCAGAAATTTATCAATATCACTAAGAAAAGGCACTAACTTCCATGAACAATTTCCTTTTGTCTGAATTTCTTGTTCGCTCCCCTCCCCAACCCTCTTTCACACTTCCCACATACTCTTGGCTTCCAACTTAGGAACCTACTATATATATACACACCACAGATGTCACTGCAGAAAAACCCACAGCGCTTTTATAAGCCAGTCTCCCCACCAGTTGTAATTGAGGGAACTATGAGAAAAAAGCTATTTTTTTTCTCATAACTTGGCAGAGCAGCCAAGCGTGGTACATGACTCAGAAACCTTCTCCCAAATGCCAGGTAACACAGCCGATGCTAATTCCATGCTCAGCAAGCATTATCTCAAAAGTTTAAAACCACATGCAAACTGATACAGTATTTTCAGAATAAGCTATTTCAGTAGTATGGTTCTTCCAAAAGCACTTCTCAAGTGCTAGATGACCAGCACTTTAATCTCAGCTTATACTTTCTTACTGTACTCTGTTAAAGGCATTGGCTCTATTATGTTTCTATTTCTTAAACCTGCAAGCAAATCCTAGGGAAGGAGAAAAAAAAGAAGAAAAAAAAAAAAAAAGAAAACAAGAAAACGGAAGTTTTCTGAACTTCCACACATGCACCATGGAACCTTACAGCACAGGCAGTTTTTACACTTGAGTGTTAAAAAGGTAACAGGAGAGAGACTGGCAGAGCACAGATTCTCTTCCTACTTCAATTTCCCAGAGTTTGCAGAAGGACAGGAAAAGCATCCAGGACAGCCACAGGAGGACAAGAGACTTGCAAAGGAGAACTAGAAGGTGGGTTGGGGAACGGATGGGGATGGGTGGTGCTTGTTTTTGGGTTTGTTTGGTTTTTTTTCAAGATAATAAAGCTTAAGTATTGTAAATACTAAGATAAAAGAGTGAATAAAAAGATTAAAAGTGTTCAGCCACTTAAGGGAAGATACACCTCCACAGGTTACTACTCCAAATAAATTGGTAGTTTATTCCTGCTTTACCTTGAACACATCAGAAATGGGTGAGGGAGTGGGAATTCTCAAGACTAGCCCTGTGCTGGATGCCAAAGAAAGTATAAAATCATTCCAAAGAGCTTCTGGAGAGAAAGAAGGGGGGGGAGGGGAGAAGGAGGATGGGGTTAGCAGCAGAAAGCAGATTAAATAGTGATAGGTAAAATGGAGAAAAGAAGAAGAAGGCTATGTTTAAACCTGAGAGACTGAAAAAGAAAATTAAAGAAACTGCAGACAGACACCCAGTAGAAAGCAAACAGAGGGAGATAAAGATCAGCGTACTCCAGGAAGAGAGCAATTTAAGTTTGCTGTTTATTGCCAATATCACACCCAACTTCCACAACCAGAGGTTTCATTTTACATGCCCAAGGTGACGGCGTAAGCCTTAACTCTGCAGGAATCAAACTTCACAACTGTGTACAGTTGATTCCAAAAGCTCGGGGTTTGTTATATAGGAAAACGAAGGCTAAAAGACATCATGAATTTCAAAGCATTCCAATATTGAATTCATAGGCTTTTGATTAAGTATAAAAAAGCTGGACAACCTGCCCTGTGAGGAAGCCTGAAGGGCTTAGGTCTTTTCTCCCTGGAGGAGGTTCAAGGGGTACCTCATTAGAGTGTTCCAGTACTTAAACAGTGGTTACAAACAGGACAGAGGCTCTCAAGACAGAGGGCAATGGGTACAAGTTGCACTATGAAAGGTTTCTTCTCGATACAAGAAAAAAATTTTTTACAGCGAGATCAATCATTGGAACAACCTCCTCAAGGATGTGACAGAGTGCCTGTCACTGGAGGTTTTCAATATGTGGTTGGACAGGGTGCTAGATAATGTCATCTAGGCTCCTGCTCCCATGAAAGGTCAGACCAGATGGTCTTTCGAGATCTATTCTGCTCCAGGCTGTTCTATGATTCTGGGTTTAGGGTTGAAGATCTCTGGGGATGGAGACCAGGTACAATTTATGCAAAAAAAAAACATCTGGCATAGTTATTTTATTATAAATTACCATATACTTGCAAATTATCGTAATGCAAATACAAGCACAGACATACCACTTTGCAACATTATTCTGAAATAGTAACAAGCTGTTCTAGATCTGCATTCCTTGTACCCTAATCTCTACTGATTACAGTAACAGTGTTACTCTTCTGACTTTCTTGCTCCTCCTGACACCCCCAAAAAGAGAGAATACATGACAGCACAAAGCAAAAATTATGCAGGAATCACCTGACCAGAAAGCTAACAAAAAAAAAACAAACAATAATTTTTCGCTAACTAACTACCGATACTCATATTTGTGGGAATTTAGGTACCTCAGCAATTTTTTGAACTCTGACAAATTCCTTTGACATTGACAAACAAGTTCAGAAATTATTCAAACAGGAAGAAGGAGAGACAATAAGAGGAACCATAACTGCACTGTCAGTCAACTGTATGCACTTTCCTTAGAAAGCCAGCCCCAAACTCTTACCATAAGCAAAATTATGCTAGTAATGAACTGATTAGTACAGTCGATCAAATAGTCTGTTTTCCACAAGAATCAGAAGATGCAATGGATATTTTACATTATTTAGAAAGAACAATTAAGAACACTGACTTCACAAAAAAAGCTTATGCCATCACCGCACTGAGATTTAACAAACAGATCCAATATTAAACACTTCTCTCTAACATACAGCACTTGGGCTATGAAAAACTTACACACACCATAAACCACTAAACACTACAATCATTCACAAGTTCCATATTTCCCAATTCTCCAGAAAAGGCAGACACACCAGCTTTCAAATTCACAGTGTGGTACCAACAGCAACCACAAAGATCTGTTCAGAACAAGAGCATGTTTGTGCTCTCAGGTCAGCGAACGCAGCGTATTGAACAAATGATGTTCCCATCGATCAATAATTTGCAAATGTACATGAGACCCATTAGAGACGTCTGCTGTCTGTAATTCTTTTCTGTGCAGGATTATTACACTACTTTGTTATGAGCAGGCAGAAAGGATGCCGGTTGTGAGCATTTTTTTTAGTTTCACTCAACATCTACTGTGTTCAGGGGTTTTACCTCTCTGCCACTTGTAAATTTAAGTACTGATGTCTTATCTAAGTGTTTACCTTGAAAAAATGATCAGGTTGAAAACAATTGTAGTAACAACACTTATGCATAGAAGTCAGCCGTGTGAAAATGTCTTCCACTACATATTATATATGGCTCAAAACTTTATTATAGTTTCTATTTCAAGTTACTTGTGCTCTTCTAAGGACCTGTTTACAAATAAATATGGAATAAAGCCATAGGAGGTATAAATTCAGAGCGATTTAGCTATTTCAGTGTTATGTGTCTTTATATGGACAAGTTTCACATGAAAAAAAACTTCCCCCCCCCCCCCCCTTAAAATACATCATAGCATTTCTATCCCTAAATAATCATTCACAAGATAATCTGGGCATACAATTCAAGAATTAATTACTGAGGCAACTTGTCACTCACCTTCTTCCTCCTACAGGAAAAAGAAAAAAATAAAACCAACCAGATAAAACCCCCATATCCTCCACAAGAATTCCAAATTATGACAAAACCCCCAAAGCAGGATGTCACATGGAAGTATCACAGACTAACAGCAGGTTTCGTTGGTTTCCCATATTACATGGGAAAGTCTGTAGTATTAAAGTATTTTAGATAGATGTTGGAAAATAAAAACAGTTTGAGATATTATGTTTGATTCTTGCTCTTTGGAGATCAGATCATTAATAGGATTACCAGTTTCAAACATTTCAGTTTCTGCTCTTTACAGGAATGGCTTCTAACTGTAAAAACCTACACAAATGCTAAGTTCTACTGTTTCTCTTTTTTTTTTCCTTTTTTTTTGCCAAG